CAACCCCCTTCCCCAATGCCCACACCACTTCCTAACCCCCAACAACGTCAAGAGTCTCAGCTTGTCCCAGCCCATAAGACTATCTAGGGTTCATTCACGTTTAAAGTTATTTCACGCATCCTTTCAATACGGGCTCCGGCTGGGCTTGCCTGGTAGCTCCGAACTTGGGATACTCAAGTTCCATTTGGAGCTGCAGGCCGAGAATTTGCATTCTTACTTTTAGTTCCACCGACTCACGAAGCTTGACACCGCTGCCAAGAATATTTTATTCGCACTTCGCTCCTCCATCTGGACCAACACCCAGACCCCTATTCCGAAAAACTTCCCTTCCAACTCCCGCTAGCGGGCGCAACGTGATGACGGACACCACTCCCTCTCCTCCTCCCGGCCCTGCTACAAAACCATCTCCGAGCATACAGTCGACTCCGAAATCTACAGCTGGTACCAAGCGCAAACGGGGATCCGCAGGGAAATATTACGCGGTCAAGGCGGGATATCAGCCTGGGGTCTACTATGCATGGAATGACTGCTTGACCCAGGTAACCGGGTACAAAGGTGCAGTGTGTAAGGGTCTCTATAGCGCATTGATATGATATGCGGGTCCCCGACTAACGGAGGCTTCAGTTCAAGCATTTCCGACTCTAGAAGAGGCAAATGCATTCCTTACAGGCTCAAAACTTCCGACGGCACCGGGTGCCACTACTTCCGGTACAGAACCTACTCGATTTTACGGCATCCAGCGTGGACGAGTACCCGGTGTTTATACCGATTGGGCAAAAGCTCAGGAACAGATCAAGGGATTTGCACGACCGCGCTATAAGAAGTTTTCGACAAAGGAGGAGGCCGAAGCTTCGTGAAACTGGGTCAATCCAATGGTGCTTCGTTTGCTGGGAACTCTTCAGAAATACAGAAGCTCCCTGGAGCGCCCGGCATATTGAGTGACATACCGAAGGACGAGCAAGGCTCTCCTATAGAGCCAGGCGATGGGCCATTGCCTCCCGGGGCAGAGGATGGGTTCGACCCAAACGTGCTTTTGGACCCAAAAACAGGAAAGGTGGTCTATAAAACGAAGGAGCAGAAAAGTGCAACAAAGACGAAGGCAACTGGTCCTCCTGGGATGTTGCGAATTTATACGGATGGTAGCTCGCTGAACAATGGCAGAGCGCTTGCGTCGGCGGGAGTTGGCGTTTATTTCGGACCCGGGGACAACAGGTTTGTTACTCTTTCCTCGCCACCATGTCCATTGGTTGTCACCTTACTAACACTGCTTTTTCCCAGCAGAAATGTCTCGGAGCCCCTTAAAGGTAGTCGTCAGACGAATCAGCGTGCAGAGCTGACAGCCATCCTTCGAGCCCTTGATATAGCTCCACGTCATCGAGATGTGACGATCTTCACAGATAGCCAGTATGCGATCAAATGTGTGACGGTGTGGTATGTCAAATGGCAGCGCAATAAGTGGCTTACGTCGGAGAACAAACCGGTTGAGAACAAGGACTTAGTTGAGTCGATTCGTGTCAAAATCGAGGAGCGGGATGAGCTTAAAGTTAAGACACTATTCGAGTGGGTTAAGGGGCACAATTCTGATCCGGGAAATGAGGCAGCTGACCGTCTGGCGGTTAATGGAGCGCAACGGGGGGTATCTGAAAAGGCAGCAGCTCTGGAAGCGATCAAGGATATCCCCGATGAAGTATTTGACGATGATATCTAACCCCAAGGCGTCAAGCCAAGTCTTGTCATTTCACTTTGTTTCTTACCTTATGCTTCGCCACCTTGTTTCTCATCACTCCTCTGTTTCTCATACGATGACGACGATTATGCTTTGTTGACTGTCCTTAAGGAGTCGGGGCTTTGTTTATCCTGTGTCTTGTCTTATGAAAGTGGTCTGGAAACCGATACGCCACCATGATGATATCCTGAGATGGAAATACATAATCAAATACAATGAAAGGATAAAAAATAGAAAAATATTCAATCCCATGGGTCTCAAGTACGACTACTAGTAGAACTTAATAGAATCTAATGCTTGACTGCAAACCCCTGCCTGATCCAATTCCCGTTAGGGAAAAGTTGAGCAAGTCACAAGAACAAGCCCCGGCAGTGATTTAATCGTCCTCCAGATCTTTTTTTTATCTATTTCTTCCGTCTTTCGATTTTTGTTCCCCACATCTCTGATCCCCCACGTTAAAAATACTTAGTGCTGGCCTTTGGCTTTAGATCACTCTACTGTGTGCACCTAACTTTTCCTACTAGAGAGAACGCTGTCTTGCTACGTGTGGTTCTCAGTGAGACGGTGAAGTTGTCTGCCGCACCCACCCAGCTTTCCTTCCTGAAGTCCCCGAGCGGAGGCGTTCGGACGTCTCAGATGACAGTGATCTCTACAGTCAGGCAGATCTATGCTATGGTTGAATAACACAGGCTTGCAAATATCACCATCCAGGACAGCGCTCTTTATCTCTGCGCATCAAACCAGGGATTTTCCATCACTTGATCTGTGGCTCTGACAAACACTGAAGAGCAGTTTAAGGTACATACTTACCTGGTAAAAGCACCTACGGATTTGCCATTCTGGTATCGTGAAGCTGCAATCCCGGCAACCGGTGACCAGGGACATCATGCCGACCCTTTCGTTGATCAATTTCAACATTGTCTGCGCTACGTTGGGTGGGTTTATCTCGGTATTTGGCTTAGTGTCCTACTTGTTTAAGGAGAGATTTTACCTGTCTGAAGCATGTTCGTAAAGCATACCCTGTATAGGTTACTATCAACACCACTGACAATGATAGTAATCTCATTATTGGCCGGGGTTCTCTTCTCTCCACATGCAGCCAATTTCATAAGACCTAAGGAATATGCGCTCGGCTCAGAACAAAATCTGGAGGAGATTACAATGTACTTCACCAGGTTAGTTCTTGGGGTTCAGTTGGTACTTGCCGGGGTCCAACTTCCGAAACGCTACCTGCAACTAGAATGGAAGAGCCTCTCATTGCTGCTGGGTCCCGGCATGGCTGCCATGTGGCTATGTAGTAGCCTGGTCATTTGGGCCATGGTCCCTAACTTTCAGTTTCTACATGCTCTCATAATTGGCGCATGTGTAACTCCGACTGACCCAGTACTTTCCAATTCGATCGTCAAAGGTAAGTTTGCGGACAAGAATGTCCTCGGCCACTCCAAAGGATCATTGTCGCTGAATCAGGCGCCAATGATGGCCTCGGATATCCCTTTCTCTTTTTTGCTATGTATCTGCTCAAATACACGGGCATGGGAGGTGCAGGGTATAGTGGAGGCGCCGGGAAAGCCATGGCCCTGTGGTTCTACGAGACCTGGGCTTACACAGTGATATTAAGCGTTGTATATGGGATCACTGTCGGTTGGGTCTCCAGAGAATTGCTTCACTGGGCTGAAGAGAAGCGTTATGTCGACCGCGAGAGTTTTCTCGTCTTTGCTATTGCCCTTGCAGTATGTCTACCACCCTAGAAGCCCCCAGCAATCACTGACGCAGCGTTGACTATAGCTTTTTATTGTGGGTACCTGTGGCATGATTGGAACAGACGACCTCCTGGCCTGCTTTGTAGCAGGTAATGTTTTTACTCAGGAGTAAAGGGCCTCCCTCTTTCTACTTTGGTTCAACATAATCTGATTTCGATAGTGATTGGTTCCGTCTCGAAACGATGGACGATTCGCTACAACCAACCATTGATATGCTTTTGAACTTGGCAATCTTTATGTGGTTCGGTGCTGTTTGCCCATGGTCCTCCTTTCTGAACAACAATATTATTCCAATATATCGCTTGATATTCTTGGGGGTCTTGATCCTGCTCGTTCGCCGGATGCCAATCATCTTCGCAATGCACAAGTATATCGGCCAAATCGAGCACCTTCTTCAAGCAGCCTTTGTTGGCTTTTTCGGTCCCATCGGCGTCGGAGCCATTTTCTATCTATCGGTCTGCCGAGAATTTCTACAGGGTATCATCGTTGATGGCAAAGTCCGGGATGATGCACAGAAGGTTTCCGAGGCTGTTGATGTTGTCGTCTGGTTCTTAGTCATCTGCAGCATTGTAACCAAACCACACCTTATCCCCTAATCCCTAATTGAGTCTAGTTTCTAACAGATATGCAGGTTGTGCATGGTCTTTCTATACCGTTGGTGAAAGCGGGATATCATCTGCCGCGGACCATTTCCAACGCACTGAGTGTTGGTTCCACGCCCGAAGCAGAGCCGGTGCCGATCGCAAACGTACAGCATACCCACAGCACTGCAACACAAGACAACAACCGAGGGCGTAAACGGCCCGGCGCACCTCGGTCTACGACTTTGCAGATAGGCCGGTCCATCATAAGACCACAATCGACGGACCAGCGGCAACTAGGTACAAACCATGAAGGGGAACCCGAAAGACCTGTAAACTTGGTAGTGCAGGAACCTGACAATGAGCCTACCTCAGGCAGCAATACACTGGGAGCTACGGAGTAGTAGTCGTTGATGCAACTAGTGCCAGTGAGTGTGGTGGTCGCGGAAACTGATCGGCCAATACATTCAACATGGGCCGGGCCGTTCCTGTTATTGCTCAAGACATGCCAATCGCACACTCCTTGGACAAGAAGTTTACTATGATGCCTTTCACAATTCTTGTATATTCTGAAGATCATAGAGGACATAGTATAGTGAACATTTTGTTCTCCACGTCTTATACAGTTACTGTGATCCTTGCTACATTTGTGCCTGAACGACTACTACTTGGCGACAAGACTCTCTACAGTTACCCAGAGACGAATAAGCTAGGAAATCGTTGACTTGAGTATGCGAATGGCTTAGAACAGTCTGACAAACTCTTGTTCATCTCTTCATTTGAAGATCACTACACGATTATAATGGATCACATGTATAAAAGATATTTGATATTCCCTAGGGAAACGCTTTTAGATCTTCGTAAAACTCCATCTTATCCCTTATTTTTGTTTCACTACACTGCCATGCTATCCTGCACTTCACCGCTAGCATGGACCAACCATACCTCGTCATCAAAGAACAGAAGGAATGATAGCAAAAAGGTAGAAATAGATAGATCGGAGGGAAAGTAGGAAGAATAAAAGGGGCAAAATGGACATCGTTTCACAAGGTTGGTCCATTCCATAAGAACCAGCAAATGCCACTAGTATGATCCCATTTCGTTGCAGCTTCGTCCGAATTCCCCGTCTCCGGACGTAGCAACCGACCAAGCCAAAATCACATCAGACAACCACCCACCCGCTGGATCGACTTGTCTATTGCAAAGGAAATTCATGCAGTCGTTATAATCCCATCCCACGCCCACACATCAAAACCCACGTGCATCCGAGAAGCAAACCAAGGGCTATGCGAGGAAATTGGGTATATATCAGCGCAACATCACCAGATACAACACCGCAATTACAGACTCAAGCAGAACAAGGGAGACGAATCAGTAGATAGGAATATCATCACATAAAGAATTGGAAGGAGATGCAAGAGGTGGAGGGTGTTCAGCTTAAGTTGCAAAACACTCGGTAGCAAGAAAGATAAAAGAATGAAACAAAATTAAGCAATCAGTTGAGAAGATGCAAAGATGATGCGAAATATCAAAGAAGACAGGCCCTAGCTCCTTTGGTGATCGGTCATCTTTGCAAGCGCGTGTGGATTCGGGCAGGTAGTCGGCCGCTGAGGTTGCTATAACAAACAACCAATACAATATGTCAATTGAAATAAAACTGACAGATGATAATTCAATATCAGGGGAATACCATGAGGTATAGGTGGTATAATCAAATGTAGAATGATCTGCTACAGCAGACAATAAGGTAGGAGCGATGTAAGTCGAGAATTCCTTGAGTAGCTTTTTGCCTTTATCCTTTGGCAAGAAACTGTCGACATTTCCCCTGTTTCCTCCTCTTTAAATCATGCAATGCGTTCGTAAAACAGCAGGTAAGCAACCTTATTGTCCTTGGACCCGTATCGTCCAATTGGAGTCCGAGTCCCGGAAGGTGCTTTAGATGTCGCTGGAGCTCCGTTGGTAACGGCTGAAGTGGACTTTTTGCTTGAATGATTACTGGAGCCTGTTCCATTGACCTGGCTCCAACCTCTCTCATTATCAGACTGATCCAGATCATCAATTTGCTCATAGATATTCGTGTTAGCGTCGCGTTTATGCTGTTCAAGAGCTGCCGCAAGCACCTTGGGATCTTCTTCGCCACCGGCTTCCGCCACATCCTCGCTTCTGATACGGCGAATGACAGTGTCATCAAGACGAATCCATTCACGACCATCCTGGCGACGGACATCGACAGTATAATGGCCACCACTTGCGTTCTTGCCGTGGTGGTAAATGACGCCAATGAGTCTGTACTTGGGCAATCCACCCTGGGCCATCATGATATTGCGCCTGTTAGGAGGTAACACTTCGCGAGGGATCTCCAAGTCAAGGGGATACCCAATTTTCTTCCAGATTTTCTGGGTCCCTCTGGTAACGCTGTCATAGTGGAAGCGTTTGAGGTGAAGAATAAGAACAGGCGGTAGATTTTCAATGAAGATTTGTTTCGTTGCGGTGACATTCGGACCGCGCGAAGAGTTGAAGTCTCCTTGAATACTCTCTGGTTTTGTCAGCCCCTTGAGAGCATCGACAATGTTATTGATCTCGGGAGAGCCAATATCCAACTGTAAGGGTTGGTAAGGCTCCAAGGTAACAGAGGTCTTGTTCCCCGGTACTTTGAACTCGGACCGGATTTTACCACCGAATATCCTCATGATAGGTGATTCGTAAGAAGTGTGACCAGAAGATCTTGTAACCGCAGGCTTCTGCTTGTGACCAACCTCCAGCCACCCATCACCAGACTCGTCATCAGCTGCAGATGGCTCTTCGCTCAGAGATGCTGCACCATCGGTTTTCGTCAATGGCGCATCCTTTGCGGCACGAGCACATTCCTCGTGCATTTCCTCCAAAAGGAAACCCAAGAACTCTTGGGCATCTTGTTGGTGTCCTCGCTATATATTTAGAAAATTAGTCTACTGCGCATATATTAACCGAAAGAAGGAAAAACGTACGCGCATGTCTCGAAAGCGTGGCAGCTGCCGAATCACCTGGTAAACGAATTCTGGGGTAAAAGCATCGCCGTATTGCTCAAGTTCATTGGGTTTCAACCTTAACCTCAACTGTTCTTCAGAATGAGCAGCATCAATAACGCGAAACTCTTTCATAAACATAATCCTATCAAATAAAAAGTTAGTATCGATCCTCAAGCAAACAATATCGTGATACTGACAAAGCATCGATCATTGGAAAATCACTCTGGAAACTATGTGATGCTCGCCGGCCAATATGATCCAAGAACTGATAAAAAGGTACACAAGAAACCAAAATTTGAAGAACCTATTGTGTCCAAACGTCAGTGAGGAATCAAACGTTTGTAGTGATTGTCACAACATACAGAGTTCATATAGCACATATTCCCGGTATTCACAAGTCCCCTGGGCTCAAGAAAAGCAGTCTTGTCGCTATACTGGGAGACATCATCCCCCATGTTCACTAATACATCTGCAAGGGATTCACTCTTCTGTTTTACCATGCCGTTCGATACAGTAGATGGAGCACCGGTGACGCCTGCACCTTTCGATTGGTTCTTGGCTCGAACCAGGTCTGCCCAGGACTTTGGTGCCGTACGAGCGGGGGAAGGTGGTCTCGGTGAACCTTCCGAAGTAGGATCCTCTATCTGTTCCATTGGGCGCTCGGTAGAAATGTTTTCAGCAGTTCCACTTGCGACATTGGCAATTGCTCCGGACGGTTTCCGTGTCTCGGACGAGCGGCTAGAATCATCTTTCGTCCCTTGTCGTGGAGCACCAGGACCCGGGACAACAGGGACAACAGGAACTACAGGAACAGTTGGCTTTGATCCTTTGGATTGCGACTGGGGCCGGACAGAAGGTTGAACAGCTGAAGACGGGGTGGTGGGCTGTGTGGAATTCGCGACCGACGGTGCAACAGACAGCGTTGGTGTTTGAGGCTCAGAGGGACTCTGAGTATGCGGCTCTACGCCCTTTGTCACACCTTGTGTTTCATCGTGGCCATCCTGCTGGGTGTCCTTCGCCGGCAATTCAACTGAAACAGAAGACTGAAGGGCTCGGGTTTTTCGACGTCGGTGGGGAACTCTGGCGGGGAACGGACGGTCTGGAACAGAGAGCCAAGGGAGCTAGAATGTTGGTCAGAATCGAATGATATGCTATAGAAGGCGCCTCAGAAAGCTTACCGGCGCACGGAAAGGCTTGACGGGGGTTGAGACCCTGGGAGCCTTCTCGGGAGCTGAAGTGGAAGGCGAAGACATAATAGGGCTAGTTGTGGGGTGGATCGGAAGCATGGCAGGAGATTGCATCGGCATATTTATCGGAGCAGGCGCTGGCCCAACAGGAGGAGACATGGTGGACTGGAGGGGAGTTGAAGTCCTGGCATGCATGGGGAGCGATGGGGGTGGGACAGGAGCCGGAGCCATAGCAGGTTGAGGAGGGTAGGTGGAGACATACATCGGTGCATATGGCGGCTGAAATGGGCGTGGATGCGGCTGCATTTGAGGGTAGGGAGGGTACCAGTGGGGATATTGCTGTGTATAGGCGGGGGGAAGATGGCCGTTCATGTGAGGAGGATATCCCATGTACGCGGGAGGAGAGCGCATATTGGGGGGGCCTGTAGAGTAAGGAATGTCTTGCTGCCGCCGGGGAGTAGGCATGGGTGGCTGCCCATGGGGCATCGCGGGCAGATGAGGGTTCATCATGTCTAGGCACGTCGGGAAGTCGCCTGGACTATTCAGCCACGCGTTGCCTCAATGGGAGCCATGCGATGTAAAACGGGGGAACCAGGGTGATGGGCTTTTTGCACCCGTCTATGCGGCCATCCTATCTTCCAGGCCGGTGACCGTGAGTTAGGATTCAGAATAGTCGGCTAAAGCTTGGCGCTGGTGGTCCTGTGGAAGCCTGAAGGGCTCATTAGACGGGAGATGCGCGATTGACTAAAAGAGAGGAGAGTGAGAGACACCAACCTGATGCAGGACACTTCGTAACAATCGAATTATAATTGAATATACCTCAGACAAAAACCTGAGGAACCAGCAACAGCGGTGGATGGGAGGCGAACTAGACTCGCGGCAAGCAGAACGGGGAAGGTTGCGTTGGAGCTGAGATGAGATGATGTTTTTTTGGGCGGGCGGCACGTGCCTGAGGCTACATTTGCCGCCAAGAAAATGACATACTCACCCCTCCTCGAGATTGGCGCTCATTTCCCTCTCTCGTTCTTCAGGAGAAGGATCAGGAACCCTGGTGCTTCTCCTCGCCTGGTGCTGCCCCTCGGGGTTTTCACTGTGATGATTGTACCTATCTTTATCTTGCGTTATTTTGTATCCTGACGTTGTGAGTCTGCTGCGTCGACGGAAAGACTCAATTCCGCCGCGCTATCCCTCCAATCACTGTTTCCACTCTTCTCCTACCATAGGAGAAGGATACTATCTTATCGGATCAGAGTGGAAGGAAGAAATGTCGTCCAATCCTAGCCAGAACTCAACCCCTTCGAAAGCAATCAACATCCCAAATCAGTCCGGATCTACGACATACAACTCCGTTTCCTCGATTGATATCGGTTCTCAACGACGCGCGGGAGGCTCTGGTAGTTTCGGAGCAGGCTTAACATCGAGGAATACAAACACTCCGAGAAATAACCAGTCCCGAAAAAGCCAACACAAGCGACAAAGGCGCCCTGGGTTACTGGATGATGAAGAGTACAGCGAGTCTGTAGGTTATCCCTAAGTCATGTCCACAGCTTCCACCGTTGGCCCAAGCGATTTAACCAGCATGATAATGTACAGGCCATCATGAGATCGACAAACAGCCGAAAGGGACAAACGTCCATCACTCATCTGATGAATTTCTCCCTCCCCCCTCGTCCTCAGTATCAGCCCCCGCCACGGAATATTCGCCGATATGCGTCATGGGGTTTGGGGTCCGGACACCATGCCATGGACAAAGCTCGTTACGTCCATGCGAATTACCGGTTTATCGTGACATCAAATCGAGCCTACCATGCACAAGCAGCCAATGCTGACGTCCACCTAGACTGGGAATCTGTACTTCAGGTTTTGGTCTCGGCTCAGACTCAGTCCGCCAGCTGTCCAATCTGCTTATCTACTCCAGTAGCGCCTCGAATGGCTCGTTGCGGTCATATATTTTGCCTTCCTTGCCTTATCAGATATATGCACTCATCCGATGAAGACAGTCTGCTGCCTGAGAAGAAGCCACGATGGAAAAAATGCCCTATCTGTTGGGACACGATATATATAATAGAAACACGCCCCGTACGATGGTTTCGTGGTCAAGAAGGTGACCTACCTTTTGAGGGTGGTGACGTTGTTTTGAGGCTCGTGAAAAGAGAACCAAGGAGCACTTTGGCATTGCCCCGTGATGGTGCTGAAAGTATTGGACCGGATGAGGATATCCCATGGTACCATGCCGCTGAGGTTGCCGATTATGCTCGTATTATGAAAGCAGGCGAAGACTACATGGTCGGCCAATATGACAGTGAAATAGAGGACCTCCGCCGCCAAGAAGCAGAAGATGAGGTCCTGTTTGGTGACGAGACAACATGGACCCAAAAAGCGATTGCAGTCATCAATGACGCTAAAGCAAAGGTGAAGGGAATTGGTAACCCGCCAGACATCTCGCAGCAGCCTACAGCTATCAACATACCAAAAGGTCCGATTCTTGATCAGTCACAGCACGGTCTTAAATCTGGACAGGTTCCCTCTGCTGAGGCGGTACAACCAGACACCGGTCCAGATGTGGCAACTTCCATGTCAGGCCTACATAGTGAAACGGATCGTGTGACAGAGGCGTTAAATCGCGTTAACATTGACGCTGTACCTGTGGCGAAAGCCAAACAGAGAGATCCTGGCACAGGCCGGGTCTCAGTGTCGTCTGAGCAGACCCGGGAAACAAATGGTCCTCATCCATCAGATCACCCATTCTACTTTTATCAAGCGCTACCCCATTTTTACCTCTCGCCTCTTGACATCCGCATTTTAAAGACTGCATTTGGCGATTATTCATCATTCCCCGCGACTATCCTTCCTCGCGTTGAACACATATCTACTGGTCATATTGTTGACGGTGAGCTCAGAAAGCGGGTCAAATATCTCGGTCATCTCCCACAAGGGTGTGAAGTAAGCTTTCTCGAATGTGACTGGCGGGATGTGGTTGGGCCAGAGATCTTAGAGCGATTTGCTGCTGAAACGGCGAGGAGAAGAAAGAGAAATAGGGAGAAAGAGGCTCGCGAAGAAAAAGACCGGGTTCGGGCTGAGAAGGAGGATGAGAAACATTGGGCTGCAGCTCGTCGTAATAGGAGGTCAAGCATTGGTGTTACTGATCCTCTGTTCTTCGATCATGATTTTCAACCGTTAACGAGCGGTGCTTCAGGCTCTGGCCCCCCAAATTTTGGTTCTTCTACATCGCCTCCCGAATTCTCACATCCTGGTGCTGCCAATTCATCATCAAGCAGTCCTCCAGGCGCTCGCACCGTATGGGGCACAGCCGCTGTCCCAACGCTCGCCCAGCAACCAGATTTACCTCTAGGGGCTGCGTCTCAGGATGGTTGGCTTGAGGGGTGGGAGGAGGAGTTATTGGCCCAACAAGAGCACGAATTCCTGGCTCAAGCCGCTACAAATGAAAACACCCCTTCCTCTTCCAGTGGCGGAAAGAAGAAAAAGAACAAAAAGATCACACTCATGTCGACTAACATCCAGAGAGGCGCCTGAAAGGGGAAACCTAACGGCTGGCTCTTCCATCTTGTATTTCATGCCATTTATCCCTTCTTCACATCCTCTCCTTCTTCCTGCCCATCCAAACTTGCGCCTGTTGTTTTAGGTTTTGGACGTGTTATGTTTTATCTACAGGACTGTTGCCAGGAAGCAATAAATAGGTGTCTAATGGTCGGTTTTATATTGTGAAAGGTATACATATCGATTATTGAACTAGAATCCTTGATAGTTTTTTTTATTATTACTTATGTTTTCTCTTAAATTTTTTTCGTCTTTTCTTTTCTTCTTTTTTTGTATATAGCGCGGACAACTTATAGAAAGACATCGTTTAGTGTGGTATCAATTTTCTTGACAGAACTCATCTATCACCGGAAAAACTCGGTATTACATACCCAGGCTTAAACTCGACTCGATTGTGCACTTTCTGTGCCCTGTTTCGTATGGTAATTTATCCAGACATCCGTCCTTCATGGCTCTTCCCCTGTTTTGAAGTTGGGGCATCGGCACTGAAAAATAAGCGCGATGCACATACTGCTACTAGGTATTGAACCAAAGTCTTGGTGGAAGTAGTGTCGAGGGGTACTTAGTAGTTTTTAGTACCGGCTAGTGGTAGCGTTCCATAGTCTAGCTTTAGGAGGCACCCGTATGGGGACGCTATAAGGACGATGAATGGCCGAAAACCTTACCCGACAAGGTAATTAAACTAAGTAATGGATTGTTGTTCAAAAACAATCTCCCTTCTCCCTCCCTCTGGCTTTTCCCACCATTTCTATAATTTGACCCAATTTCTCTTTCACAACAACTCGAAATTACCGCATATCATTCTAGCCATCATATGGTCACAATACCATGACCGTCACCCGCTCTCAGACGGGGAAAACCCCCAAGTAAGTAACATTTTTATTCTTGAAAAGGGATGGGAAACAACAAAATAAATAAGAGGCTTGCCACACTTTTTGCTTTTCGCCGTGCGTTTTTATGTTTTCAGTATTTTCAAAAATGCGCGCGCATAAAGATGAACAGGTTTATTGATCAATTGGCTTCATTACCAGGAAAATGGAGCGTCCCGGTTTCATCGAGACCCCAGGTCGTCGGGTTACTCGCAGCAGTGCTGTGGCCTCAGAGACAAACACAGATGACACATCCGACTCCGCAGTCGACATGATGAGAGGACCTAAATCTGCGACTCGTAGACGCGCCTCCGGAAAGACCAATGCTGAGGACATCTCGGAGGAGGAAGCCAAAACAGCTGCGACAAACGGACATGCCATCTCGACCGAGAAGAAACCTCGAATCGTCGACGGTTGGGAAGAGGGAAAGGATCCCAAAGTTGATTATAGTGGACACTTTGAATTTGGTGGCTCCTGGGGTGTATTATCTATGATGATCGGGTTTCCAATGCTGATGTATTACATGTGGATTGGTGCCGTTTATTACGATGGCAAGTTCCCTCGCGCCTCGGAAGGACAGAGCACGTTGACATTCATCACGCACCTGGCCAACTTGGTCTACGTGGGTGCTTTTCCTTCCGTCAAGGCCTGGGCCATCTATTGGGCGTTTTTCCTTTTCGAGGGTGCTTGTTACTTGCTCTTACCAGGCATCACTGTCATGGGTCGCCCTCTGCCGCACCTCGGAGGAAAGCAACTGCCATATTATTGCTCCGCCGTATGGTCTTTTTACACGAGTATCTTGCTGGCTTTGGCGCTTCACTTTACCGGTGTTTTCAAGCTGTATACTATCATCGACGAGTTTGGTCCTCTAATGAGTGTCGCCATCCTCTCGGGATTTCTTGTGTCTTTCGTTGCATACTTCTCGGCTTTGGCACGTGGAGCTCAACATCGCATGACTGGTTATCCCATATATGACTTCTTCATGGGGGCCGAACTCAATCCCCGGATGTTCGGAATTTTGGACTTCAAGATGTTCTTTGAAGTCCGCCTCCCTTGGTATATCCTCCTTTTTGTCACTATGGGTGCTGCAGCCCGGCAATACGAAGTATACGGCTACGTCTCTGGAGAGGTAGGGTTCCTTTTGATGGCGCATTTCCTGTACGCAAATGCCTGCTCCAAGGGCGAGGAGTGTATAGTGTCAACCTGGTAAGCCATGATTCTGTCAGCTGCGAAGGGAATTTCAGCCGGCTTACACTATGACAGGGATATGTACTATGAGAAATGGGGATTCATGCTGATTTTCTGGAATCTTGCTGGTGTACCTTTGAGCTACTGCCATTGCACGATCTATCTTGCCAGCCATGACCCGGCGACCTATCACTGGAATCGCTATTTCTTGACAATCCTTTATATCGCATATCTCTTTGTGTATTGGGTTTGGGATACTACCAACAGTCAGAAGAACCGTTACCGTCAGCAGGAGCGTGGAACTATGGTCTTCCGGAATACGTTCCCACAGCTTCCATGGCAAACATTGGAAAACCCCAAGACCATCACGGCTGAAGATGGCTCCAAGATCTTGGTGGACGGCTGGTGTAAGTCAACTATACTACAAATGACAGATGACTTGAGCTGACACATGTACAGACGGCAAAGCTCGTAAAATCCACTACACTTGTGATCTTTTCTTTGCATTGAACTGGGGTCTTATCACTGGCTTCAACAGCCCATTCCCTTGGTTCTACCCTGTCTTCTTTGCATGCATGATCTCTCACCGCGCTTTGCGAGATATCCAGCGCTGTCGCAACAAATACGGCGAAGCGTGGTTAGAGTATGAAAGACGAGTCCCTTATCTTTTCATTCCTGTAAGTACAACCTCGCTGGATCGCTGGCTATTGGAATATGCGGACTGATCTGTTATAAAGTACGTGTTTTGAGAAAACGGCCATATATGCAAGATGTCACTTAGCTGCCTTGTTAGCGGGCACGCTTTGAAACGCTGCACTTATAGGCAGTCCACCTGCCAGAGTGCTCGGAGTTCTTTGGGGACTGGATGAGTATATTTCTTTAATGTGCACAAGCCGACCCTGCTGATAGTCCCATTCATGGTGATTGTCCAGAGCTTGGGCATCTACTTTGATCTCCCAGCAATGAGTTTTTGTCTTGATTCAGATTTTAATGTGTATCATTCGATGTAAATTATTTGTCTCTATTTTTTGTGGGGGGAGGAGGGGGGCCATGCGCTTTTCCAACTTGCTTTATTTAATATCTAATCGAAGGAGTAAAATTGATGTACAACAACATGGACTGGTTTTTGAAACAGACATCCTACATGACAACGTTAATCGCTGGGCAGGAGACGGGGTCCAATCGATCTATCAGGTACATCTGTATTCATAGAGCACTTTACAGAATGTCCCCATTGACCAGGGCATGGTAACTAATCCCGAGTAAGTATATTCATAGTGGATTGGCTCTTGAGGTTGGATGATGGCCTCCTATTCCAGTCTTTGCATCACATCTTAAGATAACTCCCAGAGTTATCTGAAACCACGGGCATCCTAGATTGTCTAGGCTTCAGAGACGCCTCTTGAGCCTGATGGGAGAGGTACAGGCATTGCAAGCAACTCATCCTACATTTCGAGTCACATGACTAAGATCTTATCGGACAATTCGATCTTCCCCGCAGCTAATCTTTGATAGTAGCTAATTGAAAGCTAAATTCTCATTTGAATTGAAATCTCCAGTCCATTTCAATCGATCACAAATTGTAGTCGCAAGTCACCGTACGATTTGGCATACGGTCTCAGCTAAACATGTTGATTCAAGAGTCTTTTCACGATGTGCCAACCAAGGCAGATGGGAATGGAACCATGCGTGAGGCATTCTCCTTGCAACTTATCTTTTTATAATTGAACTTGCAGGCTCAAATGGGCCCATTAGAGGTCACCTGGCTGACATAGCTGTGACTATGAAGGTATCTATGTATTCCATCCCACGATCCCCGGGTATCCAAAGGCCCGATTCCCGGGCGTAGTTGTATTCAGTGAGATCTACCAAGGTATTTTTGCGTTTCTCTCCCTAACTTGCTAGTGCCCTAACATTTATAGTGACTGGACCTGTGTCACGGTTTGCTAGGCAGATCGCTGGCCAAGGATATATTTGCGCTGCTCCCTCTAGCTATCACGAATTCACTGGCCCAGAGCCATTGGAATACAATGCCGAGGACACGGATAAAGGGAACAACTGGAAAGTAAGCAAGGTATGATATTCAATAGCCCAGAAATCCGAGAGATCTGACAGAGAAGTTCGCTGACCAGGATATAGAAACTGGCTGCGTACGATGAGGACGCATCACTGTGTGTAGACTATCTCTTGTCACTGCCCACGTGCAATGGCCGTGTGGGCGCGACGGGTATGTGTCTTGGTGGCCATCTTGCGTACCGCTGTGCGTTAGATAGTCGAGTTAGGGCGGCAGTATGCTACTTTGCAACAGACATCCACAGCAAGACCCTTGCGGCCGGCAAAAATGATGATAGCTTAGCCAGAGCAGAGGATATTAAAGGAGAGTTGATAATGGCAAGTCTTTCCCGTCCCACGCGAAACTATTTTTCTCGAATAGTTCTCGGCAGTCTGGCCCTCTTTTTCTCAAGGAAAACCACCTGTGGTAGTAGTCTAATGGGAGGTGCTAGATCTTCGGCAAAAACGATAACCATGTCCCACCGGAAGGAAGAGACCTGATTCGCAAAACACTTCATGACAAGGGGGTCTTGTTTAGCTTTTACGAGGTGGCCTGGGCTCAACGTACGTTGCACTTTGCATTAAGAGAGATAATAGCACTTTTGAGATTGGCCCGATTGACATTATCGTCCGACAGACGCATTTATTCGTGATGAACTCAGCAAGGGACGATATGACCCCGCCATCACCAAGGTTTGTTTTGAGATGCTACTCGAGCTATTTGGACGTACCCTGAAACTGGATCTGGGTGAGCACGATGGTAAGGAATTGGAGATCGAGGATGTATGCTAAAAAACCTTTATGGCCTGTAGACTTGCCAGGGGTAGGTAGTGGTACCACTGAAGGACTCAATATTTGACCCTCGATTCGTACTCGTTTCAGGCTTATAGAATAGTTGAAAGTATCCTCACACAAGCAGCGCCTCCGCAAGGAAATTCTTGATTTAAACAAATGTATGCGGGTAGAAGCAAAGCAAGGGACGACCGACAACCTAGCTCCAAGAAAGTAAAACAGCAGTCAAGTGGCTGGATAGGTCCAAGACAGCATACCCACGATGTACACTGTTGTGCAGTACAATCTGACATATTTTCTTGGAAAACATGCATGATGTCTTACAGCAGCGTGGTTGTGGTTTGACTCCATTGTGTGCGTGGCTGGGTTGGTCTCACGGGTAGGTCCATATAATCTGTTGTCTCGGGGCAATATGTGCCTAGGAAGATATTGCAGAACATGAACCATTCGTGTCTACTCCGTACTGAGTTTACAATTGAGATTCCCTCCTTACCTATGCCGGATTATATCGGCATCTGAGGTGGACAGATAAAAGCTATGTTTGTAACAAGGGAACCAGAAATTATTCACTATTCTTGCTCCCACTCGGTAATAAGGTTAAAATTTCATGATGCATGCATGACTGGGCCGTCCCGAGTATATTCGAATACTAGGGATACTGAGTACTAGTCGATACTAGGTCAACTAGTAGCAGTCCATCCTTGGGAGGAAAACAAATAAAGTAAATGAATATACGTCGTCTCTGTGTATCTCCGTCATTTAATTCGCACGCAAGAAAGAGAAAAAAAAAAAAAAAAAAAGCGGGAATAAGAGCCGGGACGACAGAAGGCGGATTATCAGATACCCCTTGGCTGAGATGTCACAGTGGCGTGTGGCGTCTTGTGAGGCTGTGACAAGTTCCCTTTCATGCAATTGTTTCACAGAGCTGTTCTAGTGTTACCATATTGTGTTCGATTTCCCGAATTTTGATATATTAATAGAGCTCACTGTTTTTGTTCAAAAAATATCTGATGACATCATGTACTCTTCATAAATGGCTAGTTGCCTAGGTAGTAGTACATATCTGACCTACTGTGAAGTACTGTACACCAACGTCAATAATGCGTGGCGAAGTTCTTATTGGCAGAGAAACCCGTGGTTTCGTTCCTCAAGGCTCAGGCAGCCAATGTCCCAGAAATAGAAACTGGGGAAACGGACCTCTCCACGGCAACCTTACCCGAGCTCAGGGACACCAACTATTAACCATGGTCCATGGGTGAAGTCTGAACCACATCCGATCTCTATGTAAGGGTAGAAAGGGGACAAGTCAAGATCGAAATACCTCATCCACAACTGTGAATCCGACGTGAACAGACTGAATCAAATTATATCAACGTCAACTGATGATCAATGGGTTAACCAGCCTCACCAGCCTCGCGTGGTATCCCTGACTGACAGGAGGCCCAGCCAACTATCTTCCGCTTGTGTTTCTGAGTTGCATCTTAGCTGCAGGGTCAATTAAAAAAAATCGGCAAAGAATATACTAGTATGAAATTAGTTGGCTGGCCATTGCTTTTTGCCCACTATTCCATCCACTGGGGGCCTTGGGTCTAGTCCTTAATTGAGACGAACCATCATTCTTTAGTGCCATTTTGCGCCTATGAAAATTGTTGGTTAAGAATTACCACCTTCCTCTTCTCGCTCCAGCACATCCATTAAGGTAGGTTGTTTTCGTTTCCAAGTTTCCTTTTCCATTTTACTTCCCTTCTTCTTCTTTTCTTTTTTTATTTTTACCTCCCCCCTCTTTCGGCCTCCAGACCCAACACCGCCATCGCCTTTTTTTCTCCCTCTCTTCAACACTCTTCTACATTTTCCTTTCGGCCTGTTCAAAACCTGACAGCTCTCTCTTTGTACATACATACAATACACATCGGTCCCACACACAGTACATACGTCGCCAATTCTCTGAGTTGCTCCAATATCTTGTTAATTTGTGAGGCTAGGTCGCCGTCTTTTACTTCCTAATTTGTCTATCTCTCCACCAGTCTCGTCACGCTGCAGGAGTCGACTGACATACAACTTGACGTGTCAATATTCCGGGCCATTTTCCTATCAATTCGTGGATTCCCTTTCCCCTCATTCAAGAGAAAAAGGCGTGCCGTCCGAATAGAATCTATACCAATAATCATCAGCAACCATACCGCTTATCCTGCGCCTCAGATCTGCGCCGGACCGATCGTAACGGTCCTCAGCGGGTCCGAGGAAATCGACCAACTTAAGCCCCAGCACTACCACGCCACCAGCACCACACCGCGCCCACTTTCTCTTGCTACTACACATCTCGCATGATCTCTCTTTTGAACGCTTTCTAAACCATGGGCTCGACGCAATTCGGGAAGTTCCACGTGAGTTCGCGACAAACGCCAAATGTCGGCTTCGGGAGCATGCTGACCGCCGATTCTCCACCCATTTTTAGGACTTCTGTCGAGATTCTACGTTACCAGTCTGCAATGTATGTGGAGCGAATTTTCCCTTACTTTCGAACGTTACGCCGACTTAATTGGAAGGAGTTTCATTAACTTATCGATTCTCTGTCCAGCTTTTCGTTGACAAGAACCAACCCCCTAATGAAGCCTTCGGTGGTTGCCCGCTCACAGGCATTACGCTTAGCGGTAATCGAAATCTGGGAAATCTGGGTATGAGATAATGAGATAGCCCGTGCAAGATGATTCATGCTATCGCATACTAATACTTTGTAGGCTCTATTTTGCTTGCCTTCATTGCCATCCTAACATCGCTTTTGCTACTATGGAGATCTGAGCGGAAACAGGCAGCAGTCGGGAGAAGGTATACATAGTGACGAAACAAAGACAGCGAGCAGCAACTGATTTGAGAAATGTCATAGAGAGATACAACTGTTCTTGCTCGGTTTCATAGTTATCGAAATATGTGAAATCTTCAGCGTTGGTGCTTTCCCTCTCGACGCAGCGGTCCGGAAAGTATGTTTGAATTTCTTTGCCAGATCCTTAACCACCACTTCGGAATTCTAACGGTCATATTCAGGGATTTTCTGCAGTGCACATTGCCGCGATCACCGCTACATGCTGGGTGCTATTATTGAACGCCTTGGTGGGCTATCAATTTCTCGATGATGGCACACCTGCGTCGCTCGGTCTCATCTCAGCGTCCGCCTTAGTTTTCTTCATTGGCACTGGCTATATTGCTTTGGATACGGGATTCAACTGGACCGGCGAGTTCAAGCCTGACCCGTCAACCGAGTACCGAAACATTGCTCTATATGTGCTGTACCAACTTTTCCCACTTGTTTGTCTTGTGGTATTCTTCGTTTTGGAAGCCGTGTTGGTGATTCGGGTACTGGGCGAGTCCCGCCCTATGCGTATGTTTACCCCTTTAACCCTTCTGCGATGTTAGGCAACCATTCTCTGACGTCGTAAAAAGTTTACTTATCCGGCGCGGGCTTGCTCTTTGCTATCGGTCAGATTTTCGAATATGTCATCAGCACCCACATCTGTCAGGCCACGAGCGGGAAGATCAACGGTGCATTGTTCGAGACTCTGTTCACCCTCCTATCAGTAGTTATGATTTGGATCTTTTGGAGCAGTATCACCGAAGACGATTGGCCCATGCCAACGGGGCCAACCAGCGGATACAACTAGACGATTCGCCTCAGGCTACTTGTTCGTTCACTTCTTCAAACCGAGCTCTAGTGATCCTTCGCCCCATCTTGCTCCATGACGATCCTTGACCGACTATAGTATTCAAACCAGCTCACGATCCTTACCTCCGAATGCTCGATGCCTGTACTCAACTCCTGAACTCCTGCTTTTGATGCATTTTAACGGAGTCTCACAGAGAGACCTGTTTCGATACCATGCTGATACTTTGTTCTATATTTTTTTATGCTTCATGATTTGTTTGACGTGCCTCGGTGTGGTCTATGCTTGCCTACGATTTTACTGCTTCTTTCATGATGTGGATGTGATTTGCTTATCTTCAGCAGCATCTGGTCACTGTTGGTGTATTCCCTTTATCGTTAGATACCTATTTGCTTGTAATTACTGTATGCCTTACGCTACATAATTGATCCTTAGCCTTCAAATCATCCTACATGTGTCTCTCTTGTGTTGTGATCCGTTCGAGACTAAACTGCATCATGTCCGCCTCATCAACTTGACGCGGTCATTTAGCACGTGCTTCTCAAGGTGGAATATGGTTCGGGGGTCTATTTAAAGCTATGTAGCAGATGGATATAGTAGGGTTTATTTATATACAATGCCTTTAAAGAAAATGTCAAAGCCAGTCAACTATCGCACAAAAGTGTGGAGGATATGTGCGCGGGCGAAAAAGTTCGAAAGCAGTGAGAAGTGTAATCGCCAAACTAGTATCCGAACCAGGACCCTATGTTTTGCTGAAGGGATCACTTACTGTTCGCCGATCCAAGCTCTTCATCTTGGAAGGCGCGGGGTATACATTCTGTGTTTTTGCAAACCATTCTAGATTTGTTGAGAATGAAAAGAAAATGAAAAAAAGATTATCCGATCGGCCGCAAGTAGAGCATCCAAGTCAAACCATCTCTATAGCCGGACCTTGACGTCGACACAGGGGATCGTCCACTCTCGTCGTCCAAGCAAACTGCGCAACCACTCCAGCCCAACTCCGGTCCATTCCTCCTGGTCCAGCCCGCCCATTCCTGTGGCAGCCGACGACCCGTTCAACAGCAGGCGGCGCTGCGCCTCGTCGACTACTACCCCCGCTAGGTCTTCGTTGTAGTATTCACAGTCTCTAGGATGTAGCCGGCGAGGGTCTCATTGGGGGCGGCCAAAGAAGCACTCGGATCGGGAGAGTAGCGAGGCGCAAACCAGTCACCACGAAGGTCAAAGAAACAGCGATCTGACCAATGACAGGATGAGATAAAGAGGATTAGAAGGAGAGCTGAGCAGTAGATACATGGACGATGGAGGATGTAGGTCAGAGTGACGAAGGAGACAATGAAAAGTGGGGAGGCATTGGTCGGGATGAATAGGAGAGGTAACCAGCTATATAAGGGTACTATTTGTTAGTACCTGAACTATCAAATAGAAATGGTGTGGATACTGCTTGGTAGCCCACCTTCGTAAACAAAACATGCTGAGATCTAGCTGGTAGCTATGAGACGTGCGTTGAAGATACCAACGATCAGAAAGTTGCGCTTCGGGAGAAGAGAAGAGAGCGGGACGGAGATTCAGTGGCAAGGAAGAGTTCAGAGGGCCCTGGGTTCACAGCAGGTGGGAAAGGTGGGAGCAAAAGCCACGGTATACAGATGAGACACTTTCCCTTGGGGTGGGTTAAGATAAACAGAGAATAATCATTAATCAAGCCATGTACTTCTTGTCCATCGCGCTGTGCTGTTGTCCGTCTGCTTCCCTCGAGGGTTTTCAGCATCCATTCCGACGGAAATAATACCGTACCATCAATACGTCACCTAGCGTAATTCACAGCCGCGCCTCTAGCCACACACAGAGCCACATCGGGCCTTTTGCTTCCTCTTCTCTTTTGATGATTTCTGTTCTTCTTCCTTGAGCTTCCTCCCTACCCCCTTAATCCCTGTATAATAGTCGGTCATTTGGCTTCGTTTCATCGGTTGATTTTCTCTTGTCATTTCTATCTCATTCTTTTATCGGATTAGACTCGGCTACTTACTCTCCTTTTGGCTCTCGAAAGAGAGCTCGTGAAAAGTACGTTGGAGCTTGGATTTCGGTTGGAGGTCGCCTTCACCGTGGCGAGTGACAGAAATGTCCACCCCCAATGATCTCCAGGCTCTGCTGGCGAGCATCAGGCCACGTCCTTCTCCCTCGACTACGCCTGGTCAGGAAATTCCCATGCAGTACCCTCAGCAGTACCAGTCCGGATTACGCCCCCAGCAGCAGCAGCAGCCCTATGATGGGCAGAGCTTTCCTCATCCCCAGCTGCAACAGCAAGGTTACCGCCACCCATCGGTCTCGTCTACCATTCACAGTCCCTCTCCAGTGAATACTCCGCCTCACCATGGCTCGGACATTCTCCATCCTAATGCTCCAACGTCGCGTGGGGAGATGTTTTCTCCCCAGCACCACCAGCCGATGCCCCAGAATCCCGATCGTGCTGCGAATCTGCTGAATCTGCTGAAGTTCAACCAGTCTACGGCATCTCCGGCTTCTCAGCAGCCGTCACCTTTTGGATTGGAACAGCCGAAGCCGTCTCACATCCACGAAGCCGGCCCGGAGGCTACGAAGTCCCACGCAAGAAATATCTCCGCGTCCGATTTCGTTGCTACTCTCTTCGGCCGACAGGGACCCGCGGCTCCTGTCAAGCCTGCTAGTGCGCAGTTTGGTCAACCTGGACCTGCTGTCACTGCCGGTGAAAGTTCTGTTGTTCCAACCGCCGAGAACACCCAGGAGATGTTACTTCGCTTGCTCAACCGCAAGCCAGACCAAGAAGTTTTTGAGGGACCGGTGAAGCCAGTCTCTCAGCCGCTGACTTCTATCTCCCCCCAGAAGTCCCCTGTGGCCGAGGTTGTCTCGGGAAACCCTGCGATAGCCTCAGTTCAGGCTGTAGAGAAGCCTTTGGCTATGGGTTCTCACCCCGAGGAAATCGTAGCCGGGAAACCGGATGCCCTCGCCTCTCATCAGGCTAAGCCCACTCCCTCTAGCAAGGAGGCATTGTTCACATACGTCAACCCCTTCGACCAACTTGCCGCTGCTTCTCCTCGCAAGGGAACTCCCCAGCCGAAGTCTCGGAGCGAGAGCCCGGCTGTAGAGGCCATGGGAAGCAAGAAAATCATCGCCAAGGAGGAGATCACTCAGGAGGCAGCACGTGCCAGATCGCCGAGTTTGGCGGAAGAGCAGAAGGAAGCTGTGTCCCAGGTAGTTGATAATCTTGTCAGCCAGATCGTTCGCGACGTTGATGAAGCGGTCGCCAAAGCTTCCAAGGAAGAGAGCAAGCCCGTGCTGCTGATGGCTCGAGAAGAAAACACGCAAGAGACCCTGTCGTCAATCGCTAGCCATCTCCGGGAGAGCGCTACTGAAGCCAAAGAAGCTACCCAGGAGAATGAAAACCACGGGACAGTAAAGGATGCTACTGCTGATACTTTGGTTGCGAAGGAGACTTCCAACAACAGCAGTGGTGATGCTTTAGCTGATAGCTGGGAGAGTGCTGAAGATAGCGCCCAGAAGGAAGAGGAGCGTATCGTACCGGTACATAATTTCCCCTTGAAGCCGTTCATTTCCATCTCCGTGAAGGCCCAAGACTCTGAAAATCTTACTACTCTTCGGGATGACGGAATCATGGACATCGCTCGACTGAAGAAGGAGTTCGACCAATTGGATCGCTCTCTGACCTCAGCTACCTCCGATTACATCGTCTATGCGCTCGCAAAGAATGGAGGTATGAGAATAATTCGCCAGGAGGATGGAAGTGACAAACAAGCGTTTCGCTCCACCCGCGATCGTGTGTTCAATGTCGCTGTCTGTACCTCCCAGACAACGACGGGTACATCCGACGAGCAAGCGGTCCTGGGTATCGGTGTTAGTGGTGCTGTATACTGGGCGCTGATCTCGAATGGAGACAAGGACCTTTTTGAGATGGATGCTTTGGAAAGCGAGAGCCTCATCTTCCCTCCGTTCCCAGCCTCAGATGAGAATACTTCGGGTGGCCAGCTGAAAACGCGTGCCAAACGGAGCTCTCGCCATCCAGGGTTCTTTGCAATTGGTCGCGGCAAAAACATTTACGTGATCTCTCCGCAGGCTGCCGCAAACTCCAGCTACGGTGTCTCCGGCACACAGCGTACCGTTAATACGGAGAAGTTCTTCAAAGAGCGTGCCTTGAAGATCTCCACCGGCAAGGCCGGCAAGGACTTCATGTTCAGTGACGATGACACCGTTATTGCCTCTCTAGACAAAACAGGTCGTCTGCGTTTCTGGGACATCCGTGATGTTGTTAACAACCCCTCTTTCTTCGCTACTGGACCCAATCCCTCGGAAGTCCGCGTCCCATTGAACACCTTTGTAACCGGCTCTCCTGCTGAAAAATCGTGGCCAACATCTGTGCTTTTCATTGACAAGTTGCGCCCCTATGTGAAGTCTATGGCTCTTCGTTACGTCTTGGTTGGTCTTAAGCAGAATCACACCTTGCAGCTCTGGGATATTGGGTTAGGCAAGGCTGTGCAGGAGCTTAAGTTCCCTCATGAGAATGAGTCAGATGCTATTTGTAGTGTCGCATATCACCCTGGATCCGGTATCATCGTTGTTGGACATCCTACGCGTAACTCGATCTACTTTGTTCATCTGTCCGCACCGAGATACAACTTGCAATCCATGTCCCAGGCCTCCTTCATCAAACGTTCGGGTGAAAAGGATGGCAGCCTTCCCAAACCAGAATCAACTGCATGCATGAGCGGCATTCGAGAGATCTCGTTCGCTTCAAAGGGCCAGCTGCGGAGTTTGGACCTTCTCCCAATCAACAAGACAGCCGGGGAGGAGAACGGGTTGTTTGAGCTTTACGTTATGCACTCTCGTGGAGTAACCTGTCTGAACATCAAAAAGGAAGACCTCGGTTGGAGTTCCGATAACAAGATCATCCGCCCCGTTAATGCCTTGGAGCAAGGTTTTATTAACATCTCTGAGCTTCAGTCTTTCCCGGCGTATGTTACGGACGATCCTTCCATCAATGGTGACGCTGCGCCCACTCCTACCAAGACAGCCCCTAAGGAGATTGCCAGGAAGACCCCTGATCTGAGTGCTGAAGCCAGCGCTGTGGCTAGTGCTGCCGCTTCACGCACCCAGTCTCCCAGTAAGCCCGCTCCAAAGAAGAAGACAAGTGAAGAGCCAGTTGAGTCAGCAGCTCCCCACACTGCCGGGGAGAAGCCTGAAAAGAAGAAGAAAAAGAAGGGTACTACTGCTGTTGAAGCGCCCGCTAAAACAAAAGAAACGAACGCCCCCTCTGTCACTAGCTCAAATGAGGGCCTTGCAGCCGCGACCCAGGCTCAGGCTGCTGGAGAACAGCTTAATGGGGATGTGTCGAAAACGACTACGGTCAGTGCTGCACCGGTTACTGCTGGTGGCACCGAGCCGAGTGACATCTGGAACAAACACGTGGAGGTATTGCAAACCGGCGTGTCCGCTGAATTCAACAAGAGCCTTGGCCGGGAACTTGAAGGATTGTATCAGCGCTTTGACGAAGAGCGACGCAGCTGGGATGCGGCTTCCGCGGCCAAGCAAGACCAAGTCCTGCGGTTGGTCTCTGACACTCTTTCTAACAACGTCGAGAAGAATCTCGCACGCATCGTTTCGAACAGCATCCAGTCGGAAGTGCTGCCTGCCCTGGCAAACCTAACATCAGCAGCTGTTGGTAAACAATTGGACACCATCGTCGGTCAACAGATAGGGGCTGCCCTTCCTCGCGAACTGCGCCAGACTCTACCTGACACTGTTTCCCGCGCTGTTCAGCAACCTGAAATGGTGAAGGCCCTGTCGGAAGCCGTGGGTCAGAAGCTTTTGCCTGGTCTTGAAGCCGAAATATCAAAGGCCGTTCAACGCACTGTCACGCCAGCTTTCAAGACCCTTTCTACTCGTATTGCAGAGAAGACTGGGTCCGACATGGAGAAGCAGCTACAGGCACATCTCAAGCAATACGAGGTTCAACGTCAGAATGATGCCGCTAAGATTGATCAGCTCACTAATCTTGTTCGTGGTCTATCGGATACAGTGGCTTCAATGGCCGCGGCGCAGACTAGTTTCCAGAACGAAGTTTTGAGGCTCAATCGTGCCGTGGGTCAGCAAGTTGAAGACAGGGAAAGTTCGCAACAGCCGACGAGCGCCATGGCTGCTACACCTAGCGAGGCACAGTCTGCCGAGGACGCGGAACTAGCGGAGATTGCTCAGTTGATGAGCCAAGGTAGATTTGAAGAGGGCTCAGTCAAGGTTTGTATCCATTCCAACAATATTCGGGGAGATTGCTTATCGTTATGCAACTAGTGGCTTCAATCCAACCAGCAGGCCGACCTGTTTGACAACCTCTTCATCAAATTAGACCCGGCCTACTTAGCCGGCCTCTCCCCTATTGTAGCGCTTTCCGTTGGTGTTGCGGTCACCTCATCTCTGCAAACAAATGTTGCAGAACGCCTCAAGTGGCTAGAAGTTGTTCTGCAGACTGTAAATCCCATGGTATGTACAACAGGATAAGAATATACGGACCTTGCTGACATGTTTTAGGATGCGGACATTCGGGAAGTTGCGCCCAGGATCATGGATATTCTCCTCCAGCGATTGGATATCTTGTACATGTCTGTTGCTCAGAATGCACCACATGATCCTGTTATTCGCAAAATCCCCTTCCTTTCGCGCCGCGCTCGAGAGCTACGTGGCTAGATCTGTGATCTAGTTCCCCGCTGCACTTTTTGATACTGTCGTACAAGGCCACAATTGAATAATAACTACCTTTGGTTTGTCTTATGATAGTCACGCATATTTAATGCAATTAATGCCAGGACGGAGGGTGACGTCTGTGGGTTATGAATGAGAGACAAGAGGGAGAGGGAGAGAAGAGCGAGTCAATGCATGAAGCTTCTCGGACGTGGACTCCTCGCGCATGGACATATGGCAATGGTTAATCGATGAAAAGAAAAGAGAAAGAGAGAGAAAAAAAAAATAAAAACAAGGGAAAAAGGGAAAAAGAGAAAAAGAGAAAAAGAGAATGTTTCCATCTTGACAGTGTCAGGACATTGGTGGAAGGCCTTGGGCATACCTATGTTAGCTCTGGAAAGAGCTGTTATGGCTGAGACGAGCAATGGCTATGACAAGATTGATGCATATTAGGCGAATGGTATTTTTAATGATTTTTCTACGTGGGTGGTGCAGATTATTGCTTTAGTCACGTATATGCCCGGTGTTTATATAGACGCCTTTGGCCCTACTGTTCTTATATGGATTAAATCCACTAACCCCAAGTCTATTCCTCACTAAGCCCGGGGTTAACAACTTGACTTTTTCGTGAATATTAAAGGGTTCCTCTCTATTTCTATGGCCTTTTCGAGTTGGGAGAAGCGAAACGCAGGACTACCTATGTTATTCTAGGAAACTATCTTGGCTGGCAAGCTAATGAACCCAACCTACGGAACTCAACCCTTGACCGTCATATACATCATCGTGGAGCAGTACAGAGCAAACTCCACATCTATACTTTCCAGTCCAGGGATCAAACTCTACAAAAACCTGGCACTCAAATCGCGTAACAGTAACTCTCGCCAAGTCAGCTCGTACGGTCGTACCGCCGATGGTACACCAACACCGTCAGCTTACAAGGATTAATTAATTAGTAGTACAACTAAAGCCTCTAGTTCGATAAATGCAACCCTGGCGCCTCCTCTTTCGACCCCCACAAAGAAAAGAAGAAAAAAACAAAAACAAAAAACAAAAACACTCTCAATCCATCCTCCATCCTGTTTGTTTCCACTCTATTAATCACGTTAACACTGCACCATGTCAACGCCCGTCAGCCTCACCCCCCGATTTGAAATCCGTCAACTCGGCCCCGAACACCAAGACTGGGCCAACGCAATCGTAATCCACAGCAATGTCTTCTGCTCTCCTATCTGGCCCAACGTGTACCCCACGGGCAATACCAGACGCCTCTACCAGGGCTTCCTAGGCAGCGAATACCTAATCGCGCACCAGATCGCCTCGGGTCTCTCCTACGGCGTCTTCGACAAAGAATACAAGTACAGACTCCCCTCCTCCGAGCAAACCGGAGGCAAGCTCCACTGGGACTTCACCGATGAGACCGCAACGAAGGAACAGCTCCTCGAGCAGATGGATTTCCCACTAGTCTCGGTAGCAATGAGCTACAACGGATCCAATCCGGTGGATATCGACCGGTTGGAGCAGCTGTTCGGGGTGCTGCCTCTGTTCCCGAAGGTGCTGCAACGGCTGACTGAGATCGATTCTCGGGGCGAGGTGACGACGCATGAGGGGACGTTGATGCGGAATGGGACTTCGACGAGGGCCGATTACGAGGGCCACGGGCTGATGAAACGGACGGCGCATTGGCTGATGCGCGATGCGGCAAGTAAGGGGTTTCAGGGCATTGAGATTCCATGCTTCCATGATGCGGTGATTGGGGTTTGGTCGAATCCACCTGCGCCCTTTCGGGGCGAGATTGTTGCCCAGCTGAATATCAAGGACCAGGAGGAGGTGGATGAGGATGGGAAGGTCACTAAGCCGTATGCTCATGTTGATCAGCGGATTGCTAAGATTTACGTGACGCTTGTTTGAGGGTGCGTTGATCTGGGATGGAGAGAGCTGGATCTTGGGACTAAGGGGTTGTAGTGTGTTCCTGGGTTATTGATTCCTAAGCGTTTGTTTGAATAGCGAGCAAGAATTCGAGCAATTGATAGTACATGGCGATTATCATTGATTCTGTCATCGGCAGTAAGTTATAGGTATTCACCCCCACTTCCTATTCCATAGATCAGGTCTCCGGAGGTCTATATAGTACATGATGCTCTCTAGCCTCGTCCGAGTATTATGCGTGAAAGGCCAGGCCTTCCTCGGCACTCTTCTCTGTGACTCCATCCTCGACGAATTCGAATCCCAAGGCCCGCCAGTTGAGCTCTTTCCGCCAGTGCAATCCATAGTACATCCGTTGTGGCTGGGGGTCGGCATGCTCAGTGGACGTATTTTCTTCTGACTCGTGCTGATCCTGATCCTGCGTTATTTCGGGCGTCTCATGCGCCTCGTCCACAGGGTCCGACACTGGCACTGGTGAGATTACAGGTTCCGATGCCAGACCTCCCGTTATCATCCGTCCTTGTCGGGGGAATATAACCGCCCGGAAGCGCGAAAGAAGAAGGCCCATCGAGCAACAGATGCAAGGCTCATGCGTCAAGTACACATCAAGGTCTGTGCAGAGGTAGCCGCCTTGAGCACGCGAGCGAAGTCGAGGTTCTCGAGAACTGTCGATAGGTTTGGGGATAGCCCCGGTATCAGTTTTCTGATACTTCCCGGGCACGGGCGATAAATCATCGGAATCAGCCAATACCTCGGAACCGGAGACGTCCGACTGAGAGAGGAAAAACTTCTCCAATTGATTTAGAGGTAACTGTTCATTAGACTCGTTTCCATCCTGTTTGCGCCTCCCACTAGCAATCAAGTCCGCTGCGCGCATTAGCGCGTGCAGCTCCGGCCCGCCTTCAACGTCTGAATTATATGTCTGCGCATTGGGGTTGGGCCCTGCACCTAGCTGTCGCTCAGACTCTGACATTGCTCCGGCCTCTCGGCGTGCGTATCGTACGTCACCGGCAACAGCCACAATCGCATCGGCCCAATGGATTCCTACATCCTCGTCGATCGCACCAATGTGAGCCTCGAGTTCTGGATCGACAACCACTGCGCCAACCCTTCGTCCGTGTCCAGAATTCTCTGCTTCATCGGCGACCTTGCGCGCCAGGGCTAAATAACGTCCTGCCTTGGGCTTGATGGAGTTGAGGACACGGTTCAAGGTTTGAAGGGGTGGCGCAATAGTAGCTCTGGGGGCTGCAGGGTTAAAGGTGACGGGCCACATGGTTTTCGTCCAATTCTCAGCTTGTGCAACCGTCAAGGGTGGCTCCAGTGGGATACGAATAATCTGGAGTTCAATCTTCCCTACGTCCTGAGACGATTCGGATGGGGTTTCAGATGGTGGCGCAAACGGAGCCAATAGCTTCTCAAGTATTTCTGCTTCGGGTAAGGGAGGTGGAATTAGAGTGAAAATGGTCTGCGCCGATGGTTCTCCCTTTATAAGGGTAGATCGTAGGTCATCTGGTAGTTGGGTGTGCTTTGCGAAGCGTCGAAGGTGGCTCAGAGGACGAGAAGGGTCGCGAGGAAAGGCACTATCCAAAGCCCTAGTTGTTACTGGTCAGTGCACTGCCCAAATAGTAGTCGAGCCAAAAACAAAGCCCACTTTATCACTTTCGAAGCACTTTTCACACCGACCTCTACTACATATGCATCCGCTGGGAATTGTTAATTGCGCCAACAGTTTTCACCCTAGTAGTGGGGGAACGCACCAAATTCTTCACGTGGCCGCGCCTCTTGAACAGTTTTAACAGGGATAACCTGCCCTGAAAGTGGCTCTACGCCGCGAAGTAGCTCCTGTACATACATTGAGTCGTACATGTTCTGAAATGATTACTTGAATCGCGGGGTATCGATCTGCTAAGTGACAGAAAGCTCGGGGCGCTCAGAGAAGAACAATGTGTGGGAGCTAACAAATTTCGTTCACGGCATTTCTTTGGCCTTGCAACGGCGGAAATTGCATTGCTTCTGAACCCCGGGGTTCCATCGAGGGAAGGATTGATAGAGGACTCGAGATCGACATGTTTCCATGGATCTCAGCAACCCTGTACCCTATGACCTAAGCCCTACTTTCCGCTGTTTCAAGACTAGCCAGTGGATACCTGAGGCAGGGACCAACGTCATCATTTTTATAGTCTTTGGATTAATCAATTCGCTCTTGATTGGATTAAATCACTACGTACGTTGATTGCACCATCAACTAGTAATCATATGCATACATCGTTTCAGGGTAGGTACAGTGCTATAGTAGGTACTTCCTTGACGCCGTTCACAATAACACCAATATAGCTCGACATACAGCCTGCAAACATGGCAAAAGAAAAAAATATGCAATGAAAGAACAGAAATAAATGAACCAAGAACATGAATAAAACTAATCGTCCACCACAGTTGAGTTATGTATTAGCACAGCCATCTGTCTGTACCTTTCTTTTAACGTGATATGTACTAAGACAATAGGGGATATTGCTGATCCCCTTCATAGAATTTTAAATCGGTGAATAACGCTGCTGCATGCTATGCAAGTAATCTCAAACCCCATCTAGGTCGAACAAATGGTAAGTAGAAGGCATATGTTGAAATGGAAGCCGCTCCTTCAAGGTTCGCGTAGGATCTCATATCCTTCACATCTTTCAACTAGACTCTGGTAGTAGTCCTCAAGCACTTCCGGCTGAGGGACAATGCGCCACTCTACACGGAATAGAAATTCTAACTCAAGAAGAGCCAACTCCGTCATACTGATACCGCCCACCCGAGCATAGGTCTTGTTCGTCCAGAAGCTATCACTCAGCCCTTTGCTCGCAACTGTTGCACTAGCAATGAGGAATCGGTGAATAGTGAGACTAGAGACAGTAAAGGCTGGGTAAAGAGCGCAAAGGCGGTCGATATAATACACCATGCTCAACAAGATCGGAGGGGAAAGTGTGGCATGAGTGGTCAATCGCTGCAGATAGTCATTGACGGAAATCCGCGGAGGAGATCGGGAGTGAAAACGAGTCAGCCGACCTTGATGGAGCGGAATTTTGTCATTGAACCGAATAAGTTCCATCAGCATGCTGGAGATTAGCACAACGATATCCCGAGGATCGGCGAGTTCATATTGAGTCGGCAGCAACTTGACTGTGGGATTGGAAGGACGCAGCCGCTTTGATTGCGTGCCCTCCAAATCTGTGCTCCCTATCCCGCTTGCAAGTCCACCATTAGCGACAGGGTCGTTCGGACTGTTGCGCTTATTAGACCCTGCGCCGTTGCTATTTGGCGCGGGCATTGAGGTGGCCGCGGGAGGTTGTATGGGAGCCGGGGCGGAGGCCTGAGCTTGATTTACAGCAGGAGGGCCGTTATTGGGGGTATAACAAGGGGCGCTTGAAGGGTTTGTGTTGGTATTGGCGGCGGCGGCGGCTGCTGCGGCGGCGCTTTCAGCGGTAGACGCGGCAGTGCTGTTTCCGCCCCCAAGGGAGGTCAGCCCAGCGGACATGCGACCGCGAGGGAGATCCCCTGAGGGCCCCGGAGGGGACGAGGCAACGGTGTGTCGATTTAGAGCCGAACGAAGCTCTTCGATGGCCACACGGGAAGAATGAGGAGAGAGATGACTACCGGGCGCAGCTGTCGGGTTACCAACAGGCTCATAATGCTGGTTATGTGAAATCGTCGTCGACGAGTGACGAGAAAGAGGAGGAGACGAGAGAGAGGGGTGAGGGCGAGTGGGAGGAGAGGAGGGTGAAGGGCGAAGGGCGGAGGAGGGCGAGGGCGATGAAACTAGCATCTCCGCCCAACGATACCACCACGTGGGCGCACGACTGAACGACGTGCAATGGGGTTGGCAGACGCTGCGAAACCTTGTGCTGCTGCTGCTAAGAATGGCCGCGTGCCCTGGCGCATCGTGATCTGCGGGGCTTCAGCTCTATAGAAGAAGCTGAATATGGGAAGCGATGAGGAACACCTATTATAACAATAGAAATTGTTCCAAGGAAAGGAGAAGATGGGAAGAGGGGGAAAAGAATTATGGGGGAAGGATTTTTAGGTAATTAAAAAAAGAAAAAACGAAAAAAAAAAATTCCTCGCCCACAATACAGGTAAAGCTGCAGAAATTGTTCAGGCAAAAATCAAGGAATATGTCACAGACACAACAAATTTCTTTACAATTATCCAATCGGAGGTCTTCAACAGGGGCTAGAATCCAAGACGGATAAGGAACGTTACCGTCCCGTTACAATTGAGTTCTCGGACAGGCGATGGGTCATGGCTGTCATGCATTGTACAGTACCACAAGAAAATCTATTCAATAAGGGTAAAGCGCCAAGGGGTAGAGAAATGGACACCGGATTTCTACCCGACGAACCCCGTACGTTTGTACTCCGTACTCCGTAAAACATTAGGAGAGCTTGGGATGGTTGATCCTCGTATAAAGACATCGCATCCATGCCATTTCCGTGGGCCAAGTGCCACGAGTAGATCGAGGAATCTTATGCTACTAATAGGAGCGACCACCCGCCCCCAAACCTGCAGGTTCGCATCTATCTCTGCAATATACTGACACCTTGCCTATAATGCCCCTCAGACCAGGGCCGGGTAAGTGGTCAAGTGCAGGGGGTTGGCCTCTCAGTGAACACTCCTGGGGGGGATCCTAAGTAGAAGTGAGACTGAAACCCTTTCGACCAACCTGCCTGTCAGTAAGGCTGCTGAACAAGCCCATCCGTAAGGCTGAATCACATGATTACGCTGACATTGGCCCATTTCCGGGATTCGGGAAAACTGAAATACCGCATGGACGAGTGATATCACATGACCGCGGGCACCGAAAGCGGTGACCTCGACGGTATCGGCATTACTTTCTGTAATGTTGTACTCCGGTAAAGGTAACGCTAACCTTAAGGAAGCTCTCAGCAACACCTTCTGCTCATAGAAGGAAATCGGTCGGGTGTCAGCTTCTCTGAATTGGTGTCGAAGGTGTACCGTTATACTTCGCTTTATTCTCTCTTCATTGTCTGTTTCCATAGACTTCGCCTAGCTCATCTTGCGTTATATTACAAAAATAGTACATAACGATTCCTCCATACGCTAGGTACTGTATGTACTTGGCTGCTCATTAGACGCCATTCATTCGTATATCATCGCCGGCTACGACTTACCTTGCTACTTGTACAAAACCCCACCCCTACATCAACACTTTCTTTCGACAACATCTATCCACCTCCCCCTCTTAAACCCTTCGGACTATTGTCGTATCCTAATTCTATTTATTCACTACTCAACTCTCTTATTTACCAAAGCGGTCTGATAGACATCCTCCCGCGGGAGGCGGCGTTCTGACCATGACTCGCGCTTCAACACCTCCGATACTTCTAGAACTTCAAAGCGCAGACTCTTTAACCTCACAGGCTTCGGCGCTTCGAACCCTCAAAAATGAGACAATTGGCCATGATCAACGCAAAGAAGCCTGGATCCGGTGGGGTATAATCCCCATACTAGCCAAGGTCCTTGCCTCCAGGCAGACTAGCGGAAAGAACACCGAGCTCAATGGGCCGACCAAAAGCCAACAGTCATCGAGTCACAATTCGGAGGAGGATGAGACGTGCCTACAGGCAATTATAGTACTGGGTAGTATAGCACAAGGTATTTCACTCAAAGTGGGAGTTCTGTCCGTCGCACTGGCTCAGGGACTGATAACCATTCTCAATCAGGCGGTGCAGCTTTCCTTTCCCCTATCCTTTCTAGCGGCATCCTCTCGATCCTCCTGTCTATATTATCATCTCCCGACTGCCCTCAATCTTTCGTTCTCCCCATACTGCGAACCCTGAATAACATCGCGGATCGGCTACCACTGCAAAGCCAACAACAATGGCCGAAGGATACACGCTTAGCCGATCTGCTCTTCTCAGACGAACATATTAGCTGTCTGTCACACATTCTCGGGCAGGACTATGGGACATATCAAGCGCAGGCATCCATTGAACTTGCTGCGGCCCTTATCGGAAAGCTTTGCACAGAGGAAGCTCACAAGGCAATCCTGGCCGACTGTGGCGTGTTGGATGCGCTGGCCGTGAAGGTGGCATCGTTCGTCGTTGCTCAAGGCTTTGTACTTCCAGGTGCGGAAGCACATGTGCAGGAGTCCGGCGCTCTTGGTTCTCTACCTCCTCCTGCACCCCCAAGTGCCAAACTGGCTCCGATCCTTCGTGCTACCACGGTCATTATTGAACATTCTAAATGGCGTGCGGAGCACTTTCTCTCATCGCCTGGCATAGTGACTGTTTTCCCCAAGCAGGTGCCTGGATTTGCCCCTTCTGATATCAAGACAGGCCCATGGGGATCGACATATTTTTCGGGTTCAGCTGTGCCACGCCACCTCGGACCCAGTCCCCTCGAGCATCTCCTACCATCTGTTCCACTGTCTCAAGGAAAGGCTTCTGCTAGTGCTACCAACTTTCCACCTCTTGGTCAGCCACATGGACCTCAACGCCGGCAAAGCCATTCATTCCCAACCCCCTTCTCGATCTTGGAGGCGCCGAACTCTGATGATGATGAGAATGCTATCGTTCCTTGGCTTCTATATACTATCCGTGCCGAGTGTGGCATGGTGCGGCTGATGGCTGCACGTCTGGTCACAGTTCTATACCGTCTTGGTCTAACGAAGAAGCTTCGAGTCTCCATGCTTTGTTACTTGTTGATTCCAATTCTTATCCGGATGCTCGATAAGGACTATGAGATAACTGGCGATGATGGCGTCCAGTATGGAGGACTGATTCTGTCCACTGACCGTCTGAAAGAGGAAGCCCCGGCGGTGCTTGCTACCCTGGTGATCGACGATCAAGAGCTGCAGAAGCATGCAGTCGATGGAGGTGCTATCAAACGACTGTCGCAACTCCTGAAGGAAACTTATAATCCAATTCAAGAGAACGCTAGACCGATGTGGCATGTCGATGGCGGGGAAAAGACTGAGACTAGTTGCACACAATCAGCAGAGTGTACGCTAGGTCCTCCAGGATATTCTCCCATTCATTGTCATGTCATGCGATACCGGGAGAACATCCTTAAGGCTTTGGCCGCTCTGGTCCCTTTCAAAGATGAATACCGCAAGACTATCTGTGACAATGGGGTAGTCCCCTATATCATTGATTCGCTCAAACCATGTCCGAACGATCCTCGAGACACATCTAATCCGAAAAACACCGCTGCTGACGGCAATCCTACGCCCACCCTGCTAGCAGCTTGCGGTGCTGCCCGGATGCTCACTCGCTCAGTTAGCGTATTAAGAACCAGTTTGATTGATGCCGGGGTAGCAACTCCTTTATTTGCCTTGATTCGTCACCAGGATATTGAAGTTCAAATTGCGGCAACGTCAGTTATATGTAATCTTGCGCTGGACTTTAGCCCAATGAAGGAGGTAGGTTTTTACACTAGCTCAGTGCGCGGAGGTTGCACTAACGCTTCTCAGGCAATTATATCCGCGGAAATACTTCCAACATTATGTGAGCATGCACATTCTACGAATACAAAGCTCCGGATTGAGTCGCTTTGGGCGCTGAAGCATGTGGCCTATAACTCGACCAATGATGTCAAGATGAAGGTCATTAACGGCTTGGGACCTACGTGGATCCAGCAAATCATAACGCAAGACCCAACTAGTGCTCTAGCTAAACGAGGGATGGATGATGAGATGGAAAGCGGCACTTCAACGGGCATGAGTCGAGCCAACTCCGCAGGCGAACAAGTTGATCTGTTGAATCCCGTCGAGGACACACAGGAACGCGATGAGGATATGAAAATGGCCGATTCCTTACCACCATCTAAGATGAGCTTAGAGATGTTCCTCCCCGATGTTAGCCGGCGTCGCAAGCTTGCACTACATGGGGACCTCGACCAAACCACTCAAGCACGCCAAGATGATATTGCCGTACAGGAACAGACCTTTGATCTCTTGCGTAATCTTGTTTGTGGCCCGGGTGCATCCGAGATGATTGATCACTTGTTCAAGGAGATCGGGCAGGATTTGATCTTGGATGCACTGGCGGATAAACTACGGCCTCGTACCATCCAAATGCCACATAAACGAGAATCGTCGACCCACAGAGCTCTACAAGTTCCGACAGAGATCCTGGTAGCAGTTACGTATGTGATCATCCACCTCGCTGCTAGCCTCCCATGGCACCGCCAACTTTTGGTCTCGCACCGTGATCTCTTACGTTATCTCATGGGGTACTTCGAGCACGCCAACCGGGATGTGCGGACGAATTGCGTGTGGGTAGTGATCAATCTTACATATGAGGATGACTCGAGTGATCGAGACGGCTGCCGTGAGCGAGCATACAAACTGCTCTCTGTTGGGGTGATGGACCGGTTGAAGCGCCTAGAAGAGGATCCAGATCTTGATGTCCGAGAGCGAACCAAAACAGCCGTACATCTGGTAAGAACCTTGACCCAGGCCTAACGGTTATCACCTTCTACCGTATTTGACTTTCCTTTCTGGGCTTGTTTGGGCCATCTTCGGCTAAATTATGATCTCTTTATTGCACGTTTTCATGCTACATGGACATGCACAGCTCCATGAACTATGGCAGGCGTTGGGATGATTGTATAAAGGCATTGAAAGGATTATGATAAAATGTACATGTTGGCTTATGCAAACAAATTCTTCATTCCTTCGGCTTCCTCTTCTTCTTCCTACTTTTCTTCCTTCCTTGATGACCGGGAAACTTTTTGAGGTTTTGTCTATCCTGGGAATATCGTCCATTCTTATGAGTGAGTTTCCGATTTGGACGAAGCACTACTATCGATGTACATAAGTATGTATGGAGTATGGAGTACGGAGTACGGAGTACATACTATGTCCTACTACCATGTACCTGTTTTATCTTATCGATAAGATAAGAAGTGGGGCCTGCCCGGATACGTCATCAGAACGGCCGTGGTATAAAGCATTTCCGGCGAATCAATCCCCTGGCAAGCTTTCAGGTACATAACGCCATCAATTCCTGTCCTCCTTTATCTCCCGGGTTGACTTACACAGCATCTTCTTACGAACTAAGCTCTATGGCTCCAGTCCCCGCGTCGCTGTTGCGTGCTCTCTCCATCTCCGATCCCTCCAAAGCAAGCTTGTCCACCGCTGGTTTGGGGTCGGGTTTCACCAGTACAGGAGCCATTCGAGCAACAGTTCCATCTGCAGATGGACAGTACGAAGAAGAGAGACAGTACTTTGTCAAAACATCTGCAGATGGTAAAGCTGCTGAGGAGATGTTCCGAGGGGAATATGAATCCTTGAATGCTATCGCGACCTCCGTACCAGGATTTTGTCCCCGCGCTCTAGCTTGGGGGTCGCTAGAAGAAAGCAACGGAAAGAGCTTCTACCTCGCGACTGAATTCCTGGACCTGGGGGGTGGTGGCCGGACAGGCCAATCTCTGGCTCAGAGACTAGGAAAGCTTCATTCGACTCCAGCCCCGTTAGATCCTGAGACGGGGAAACGTCGGTTCGGATTCCCTGTTCCGACCTTCTGTGGTGATACTAAGCAACCCAATCGATTTCATGATTCATGGGCAGACTTCTACGCCAATGAACGCTTGATGACGATTCTCGAAACCTCGGAGAAGCGCAATGGCCGAGACGCCAACCTGCGCGGTCTAGTGGAGCAGACGGCGCACACGGTTGTACCTGCCCTTCTAGGGGATGATCACCTAGGCTACGACAGGAATGGAAATGGAGAAGGTATTACACCTGTGGTTGTTCATGGGGATCTTTGGAGCGGCAATGCAGACCGTGGGAGGATCGTAGGGAGTGGGCGTAAGGGCGATGAAGAGGCGGGTGACGTTGTATACGATCCATCGGCATGCTATGCGCATAGTGAGTATGAGCTGGGGATCATGAAGATGTTTGGAGGCTTTGGGTCGACATTTTTCACTGCCTACCATAAGATTGTCCCTAAGACTGAGCCGGTGGAGGAGTATGAAGACCGAGTGAAACTGTACGAGCTGTAGGTTTTATTCTTTCCCCCGCTCATCCAACCCACAAGATCTCTAACCGGGTCAGATATCACCATCTAAATCATTACGCCATCTTCGGGGCTGGGTATCGATCGGGAGCAGTATCAATTATGCAAAATTTGATCCGAAAGTATGGTACTTAGTCTGAACAGCTGCTTGGGGTTTTGGCGTGGCAGATTTTGGTTCCGCATGCCGTCGTTCTCTACTAGATAGATCTACATGTAGTATTGGCGTTGTCCCGAGAGAATTAATAATCCTGCAATCCGATGACACCATCATACATACTGACTCAGCATGGTGAAGTAACTAATAAAGTAGTATTTATGGGAACGCTATCTGTTTAGTAGAACTCAAGAATCCCCCGCATCTTCCAACTTCCATTTAATCGCAGCAGCAGTACCTGTAGATTTTTCAACATGTCCCCCCATCCAGATGCAGCAGTTCACCCTGAAGCAACGGGGGCAGCCAAATTGTTGGTCGAAAATCACCGTGCGGAGCAGCCATTAAAGCTGTATGCTGGGTGGTTCTGTCCGTAAGTGTGTTTTAGTATCAGCCAGTGTCTACGGATCTGTACGATAGGCAAGTTTACTGACCTGAACGACAGCTTTGGTATGTCTCGCCTGTGACTTTTCCAATCCGCACGACATAATTAGTCCTTGCATCTTGGCTAACCTCTTCAAGTCCAACGGGTCTGGCTCGCACTAGAAGAGAAACAAATCCCTTACCAGTACATCGAAGTCAATCCTTACCACAAGCCACAGTCGCTTCTCTCACTGAACCCGCGCGGTCTGGTTCCAACATTATCATGTGTGGTTAAAGATGGGGGCGCTCAGACAGCCAGGCCCCTGTATGAATCCACAGTTATTCTTGAGTACCTCGAGGAGGCCTACCCAGATAACTCTCCACGGCTCCTCCCGGCAGACCCCTACGACAGAGCCCGAGTACGCATCTGGATTGATTATGTTACCTCGCGGATTATCCCGTCTTTCCACCGATTTCTCCAATACCAGCCCAAGTCGGGAGGTGAAGACCCAACGGCTGGCTTGGAGAGAGTCAGACAGGAATTCCTGGGTCATCTCAAGGAATGGACTAGGGAAATGCATGCCGACGGACCATTTTTCTTAGGAGATCATATTGCACTCCCAGATCTGGTACTCGCCCCATGGGCGGTACGGCTGTGGGTCTTTGATGAATACAAATCAGGTGGGCTTGGCATCCCGGCGGAAGGCAATGGAGGGGAGGATGAGCCTCTTTGGCAGCGGTGGAGGAAGTGGCTGAGAGCTGTAGAGGATAGGAGAAGTGTGAGAGAAACTACGAGTGAGAAGGAGTACTATCTCCCTGTCTATAAGCGGTATGCAGACAATGTGGCCCAGAGTGAGTTGGCAAAAGCCACCCGTGAAGGAAAGGGGGTGCCATGAGACCTGTTTGGCTTACAGCCATGAGGAATTATGGAAACTCAGTCATATACTGGTTACTATTATACTTCGTAGGAAATATATACACATCCAGTCGCACCAGTGAGATGACTGTTATTCACCTGCGACCCAGATCAACAACCAGAATCCCTGGAACCACACAATGCAGATTACTCCACTTAATAATCTTCCGCCCCATCCACGCCTCTTTAATTGAACCTGTCCATCGATGACCTCGAGGATCTATAACTTTTATTCTGATGTTTCTGATAGGCCAGCGGAACAACAATATCCCGTGTATCACACGTGACTTGAGGTTGTCGCCAATCACGCTCCTCCATCCCAAGGCGATCTGGATCTCATCCTTTCGAACATCATCGTCTGGTTGTTCGGAGAGTTCTAGTACCATTCGCAAGTATGGTGCCAGAGAAGAAGGATGGCTCGAACAATCAGGCCGCGCCGGAGACAAGCATACCGGAGCCGCCTTCTATTCATCCCTCTTTCATCCAAGTAGCCAAGCCGTACATCTTCGAGCAGACTATTCAACAATGTATTGCGGCTATGGGCGTCAATCCCCTACGCGAGGAGGGACTGCGCTTGCAGGGAGTGACGTGGATCGATAATGTTCGCCGAGTGTTATATTTGTACGTATCCAGCAGCGTCTGCTTGGTCTACTCATTATTCGTCACCCCCAAAAAGAAACAGCAACGTACTCTTTAGAAAACGAGAATATGCTAACGGATTAGACCTATCCGTACCTTTAATACGGCTGTGGTGTATTATCACAAGTTTCGGCTCGTTCATCCTGACAGCGAGTATAATTATATGGTAGATACCCCCCTTACCCACCTATCCAGGTAAAATCATCTGACCGTCTAGGATGCTGCTGCGGCTGCATTGTTTACAGCTTGCAAGATTGAGGACACATTGAAAAAGTCCCGGGAGATCGTATGTGCAGCATATAATCTCAAATTACCACCTTCAGAACATATATCTCCCGACAATCCGGTATGTTTTACATTTGCCTTGCACTTGATCCCTCGCTAACGCTTTTTAGGTCTTTGAAGCACATGCCAGAGGTATCATCGGATTGGAGAGGCTCATGCTCGAGGCGTCAGGCTTTGATTTTCGGACGCGTCACCCGCAGAAAACCCTGATCAAGCTTGCTAGGCATTATGGCCTTACGTCGCAGTCGCAGGTATCAAATGTGGCATATCGCATATCGCAGGACCTCTATCGTACTTTTGCTCCAATCAAGCAGACTGCGTCAACTATGGCTTTTACCTGTCTAGAACTGGCAGGTCGTCTGCTGGACCAGCGCATTGAGGCGGTCGAAATGGGAGTAGATTATGAGAAGTGGAAAACCAGCCGGGAGGAAGTAATGGGTAAGTGCTCCTCGCAAATACCCTGCACTAAGGCATTTGCTCATCGTATCAGAAACCCTCTTTGACCTACTGGAGCTGTATACCCACAGTCGTGGCTCCACCTCGGTCGGCCCTCATTTCCCAGCCGATCGATTCCTCACAGTCCGTATTCCATTGAACAAAGAGGCAGAAACTCAAGGACTCCCTCGTTATACACACTGGGTCAATGAGTCGAGAGACCCCAAAGCTACCAATGGTGCAAAGAGTGGCAAGGAGCCCGCCCTGGAGAAAGCAGGCACCAGGCTGCATCCGCTTACACCTGTCGCTGCCAATGGAGAAAGACCCAGAGCTGGCGAGAAAGGCCGGGATGGAGCCGTACGCTTTATGCTCGACACCGAGTGTGCAGATGCAGAGAAGGCGCGTGTTTCCGAGTATTTCAAGGTTGAAATGGAAGAATACGAAGTGGAAGAATGAGCTGTCCAGCCCCTTCATCATAGCTATATTACCCCATACGGCTACCATACTGCGACTAGTGCAGAACAGCCCGCAATTTGCGCGTCTGATTCTATCGACTCGCCCGCTACTTTTGCGACAGTTACTGACATCGAACAAAAGTACGCCGGCCTCTACCTTGATTTTGAGGGGTGGAAGAGTGGCACCAAATAGAAGGATACCATCTGAAGCTAGGCCGAATATGCAAGAGGCAAAGCATACCCGTCGCGCTGAATGCCAGGGAAGACCGGATAGGAAAAGCGGAGCGATTGACACTACAATGATATGACCCAACGATTTCGATACCAGTGTGCATCGGATATTCCATGGAGTCTGTCCACTATTGCACAGTGAGAAGGCACTGTTCAGAATAGTATATATATCTAAGTCATCTATTCATAGAATACTAGTTAGGAACTTGAGTAAATCGGCACAGCAAGTACCGCCGATGTGCATAACCCAGTAATTGATCAAGGTATATTTCCTATATATGAAGGACTTTACATTGCCCATTTAGACGCCCGTTTCGTTCCGTCAGACAATGGCGGCTTGACATATCAGAATATGAAACGGAAAGAAAAAAAAATACAATATCCCCTTTCGGACGTGTACCTAGATGAACCTAACCTTCTGGCCGTAATTTCCCGACACTATACAACAATGACCCAATGTGAAGGCAAGAAGAGAGAACAAGCGTAAGGTATGACAGACGTTCGGTAGCCACCGTTGAGAATGAAGTTTCGTTTGAAGCTCGTTAAAGGGCTCTAGCGATGTCGAATAACGACCGATTAAAATGGTATTCTAAAACATGAGCCGCTACTTTTAAATTCCGAAATTTTAGAGCAAGTCGGGAGGAGGTTGGGTTTCGTCACTGAAAAGCAGAATGGAAATGGCATGGGTCATTATCGAACGTTCTTCACCGGCGCTTGAGCTCAGTGTTCAGACACTCCAAAATCTACATGCCGTTAGTTATTTGATATATGATAAATAGAAAGAAAGGATATAGGAGAGTATACTGACCGTCTCAGAAACAGTGCCCTGGTTGTACAGATACTTGCCCAATCCTCGGACCACCTCTAATTGCTCCTCGACTGTCAGGCCATTGATAGCCGTCTCAATGACATCTCCAACGGTAGCTTTGTACACGGCAATAAAGCTATGGTAATACATATACGCAAAGAAGCCCATGATGAACTGGCAGTCCATCCGATCGGTGATACCGCCATGGCCCGGGATCGATTCGCCAAAATCTTTTATTTTGAAGGTTCGCTTAAGCCCAGAAGCGAAGAAGCCACCGAAAGGAGCGATTAGGGAGGCGAACGAAGCGAAGATCAAAATATGGAATTGTATGGGCTCGATGTAAAAGGTCTTGTCCACTCCGGTCCACTCCGGAACTTGGTACGGTTGGGGCATAAAAGCCGGGTTTGGTGTGCATTCCAACCCCGTCAGCACATTGGATCCGAGATCATTTACCGGACAGATGAAGTACTTGTAGCGCATTAGGACATTGGTCATGAAGTAGCCGAAGATTATGGTGCAAATCCAAGCACCGAGGAACCCCTCAACTGTCTTCTTGGGAGACAGTTGGATGAGTTGGGTCCGGCCAAACGTGATTCCGCAAACGTAGGCAAAGATATCGTTGGTGATGACCAGCGACGCTGGGAGGAAAAACCATATCATTCCCTCCAAGATGTTGTTCATAACAAAGTGCGCCTGTACGACGATCAGGTAAAGTGCCATGTGAGTCCAAGCGAACTGTGTAAATTGGAACCGGTAGTGTCCCTTTTGTAAAGATGCAACAAAGAAGACAAATCCTACATTCTCGCATTAGGATCTTGAATGTTTGTCTTCAAATATTCTGGAACAGGGAAAGCAACTGACCCATGACGTAAAGCGTAAAGCTGATAAACCTGTGGTGAGTCGCGAGAGGCAGTAACACCTTGTCGACTAACAGTACGTGCTTAAAATAGTAGATGACACTTTCACCGTACAAAAAGTACATGGTTGTGGCTAGGAAATACCAATTCAACGATTTAGTGAAACGGAGATTCTTCTCTTTGCTCGGCACATTGGCAATAGCGATAACTTCCTTGAATGAGATGATTTGAACGGCGGTAACGATGCCAATTATGTAGATGTGGCCTGAGAACATGGCAATAAAGAAACCAAAGATCATCACGAAGGTCCATATTGTGCGAGTAATGAAGGTCTGCTTCTTTTTCTCGTAATCGGACATCTGCGGCTGTTCGGGTTTCTGGCGGTGTTTTCTGTTAGTCTCCTAGCAACATTGAGCAATTCGGGCCGCCCACCTCTTCGACGATTGTCTCTGGCTTAGACACGCTGCCATTCTTTGACGGACTTCCGGGTTCAGAAGCGGCATCGCTGGCATCTGAGATACTTAACCGACGGGTTTCTGACGCCCGGTGTGGGAACCTGACGTTCCGACGTGGTTTGGACATGGTGTACTGAGCCGAGGGGAGAAACGGATGGCGCAGTAGCTAAGCGGTATGCGTGGGGAAAGAGGGGAAAGTCTAGAAGAAAATCCTAAGGGGAACTGGGGTCGGGATGGGGCCGACAAGGAAAGGTATGACAGGGGAGGGCGAAGAGGAGAAAGGGAGTGAGAAGGGGAAGAGAGAAGAGAGTGAGCACAGGTGATCGTCGTTACTAGATTAAAATTTCATGTGAAATAGCGACCGATTGCGGTCGGCGGATGCACGGACAGAAAAACCCGAGGTCGAGACGCCGCTGGGGAGGACTCAACAAGCAATTCTTCGTCAATATTTCATTGACTGCGGTCCAAATCGCAGGGTTGATATTGAGGGAGCGGAGAAGAGGACGAGTAGGAAGAAGAGAGGGAGATGAGGTCCCGTGGCCGCAGGTGACTTTGACGGGCTACTACGTCAGGCGTTATTTCCCCCTACTTTTTTGCTTACAACCCCAACAACCAAATCTCCATTATCTGCCGCAGTCATTCCTTCACCCATTCGCCATTTTCGCCTTTCATTCTCTCATTCATGGCGATCGTGCGTCTTAGGGCATGGAAGAAAACGATGATGATTTCTTCTCCGATGATGGCTTCGACGATCTGCCACCGGGCACATTATTCCAGCTGGAACAGAACGCGGTCTTAGCAAACCAGGCTTCACAGACTCAGTCTCAGACTATAGCGGCAATAGGTCAGCCCTCTCGAGCCTTTGCTAGTCATGATTTTCAAGCGGCAGCTTCCGAGCAAACCTTTACCCCTAATGTTTCCTTACAACCGCCTGTGCATTTACACACGGGATTGACCAGCGATTACGGCGCTTTGGATGTAGGGGAATTGGACGCGGCGGTTCTAGAAGATGAGACCGAATCAATGCATGGGCTGGGTCAACCAGCTGTGCCTACTGAGCAGTCTGGCTCCTACCAGGTTGTTGCTGACCCGGAAGAGGAGGGTGCACAAGCTTATCCCGAGGCCATGGAGGTAGAAGGGGAAACTTCGCACACTAGGCGTAGCCATGTAGTTTACGGCATGATAAATGATAAGGTAACATCATTAGATCCCTGATCTGCATTTCTACAGAGCTAATTCTTGACAACAGCTGGCAGCGGAGGATGAACGGTATAAGCGAATGACGGAAGAGCTGACTGCCGCAAGATCTATGGCGGAAACAAAAGCCGGGGAAATTGCCATCATCCGATCAAATCAAGCGAAACTTACAGAAAACTATGAACGTCAGGTTGCCGCCCTGCGGAAGGCGATGGCTGAGGAGGTAGCTAGGCATAAGGAAGAAGTAGAGGCCGCACGTGCGGAAGGCAAAATGCTAGCCACGGAGAATGCATTTCTTAAGCAAGATCTTGCCGAGGAGTCCATGCGGATCAGCAATCTGAAAGCGAAGGGCCGGGTGGAGGAAAAGCCAGCTCCAGGAACACCAAAGAAACACAAAGCCCTGCCTTTCCGCGATGGATTCGATGACGATGAAATCCTTGCCGTCTCTCCCAGCAAATCCACGCGGTACAAGCGAATGAGCCCGACTGTGGGTGGTAAACGGAAGAGGAGGCTGAGCGAGGATAGCCCGATACCACTTCAATTAAGCCCACAGCCGGAACCTATGCATATCGAAACTGCTGTCGGTGACATGTCGGACGATGCATTAGATGAAACCATACCGAACCGAACCGCGCATGTGGACGACCTAAACTCGCACTTGGTTAAGCGCCTATTGAATCATCGAACATTCCCCAACGAAGACAATGACATCGAAGTGATGGCTAGATTAACATTCCCATCAGAACCCCAGCGAACGCTGTCCTCGATTTTATTGGAAGAAGTGGCAAACATGGACATCGGTAGTTATTTGCTAGAATACGCGGGGGCTATAATTTCATTGTGGTCTCGTGCTTTGCGCGAAAAATTCTTCGAGCCTGTTCCCATTTTCATGGGGATTATGCGGCATGTATTTGCCCTGGGTGCGCCGTCATCTGCCTCCGAGTTGATCGAGCATCTAGTACCGCTATTACAAGAATCGGGCGAAGTTAACGGCATACCCCGGTTTAAACACTCTCCCGTTTCGCGGCAAAACTTTGGACAGGTCAGACAGACACCATTATCTGAGCTGCAGCCTCTTGTAAACTCGACTGAGGCGCTGGGCCTCCTGTACCAAATGGCTTGCTCATGCTTACATATCGATCGCGTGTTGGAGAAATTCTGGCGATACATGCGCTACGACTTTATTCTGATGATGTTAAATTGCTCGCAATCCATAAACGACATCATCCTAACCCTAAACCTCCTATCAACCAGCATTCGCATCGAGTCGTTCGGTTCTGTTCAGGACACGGAGCAGGACCAGATCGCAAACGAAAACTACATCGTTGATCGCGTGGCGAACCTTCTGAGTGAGACACCACAGGTAGACGAAGGACAGCCCCCTTACAGGGCTTCGGAGATTTGCGATATGCGGCTGGAAGCGTTGTCTCTTTTGACATTGGTGGCTTTCAATCAAGAGGCCCCCGCTAGTACTCATGGCAGCATGGTCATTGCATCTCACTCCACGGCGCTAGCACGGTTAATCCGGGCCATGCACGACGAGCTAGATGCCTTGTATTCATCACCACCCGAAAAGGAGTTGCACGCGGCGTTAGTAAATGGGTTGATGCGTCTAGTGTACGGGGTGATCCGACGACATCCAGCGCACGTCGATCTCCAGTCGAAACTCAGCCGAGTGGCGGGCGGGAAACAGAAATTTCTAGTGGTGCTGACGCGACTTGCGTTCAGTGAAGGACCGATATTAGAGGCCGGAATCGAGGATGAGACGGTCGAGATGGCCCACGAGATCTTGGACGACGCTGTGAATCCTCAGGAGGCCGAGGCTCTGCTCGAAGCGTTCCCAAGTAGCAAGCAGCACGAATAGAACAGTACACAAATAGATGTGTATGTATGTATATATACACGATGAATCACGACAAATAATAATGATACAACGACATTGCCAGGTACTAAACAGTGGTATTTCGATAGTCCATTCGTTCATCAAGTCGCTAAATGAGACTACGTGGCGAGGATAATGTGTAATACAGACAGGAAACCAAGGGTTGTACAGAAGACCATAAAGGGAATACAACGAAGTACTACATTAATTTCAGGTAGAGTGAACATTAATATACATGATTACATATCCCTCTTCTCCATACCCCCGCGCAAGGCGAAGAAATGATGAAAAGAGAATAGGTATTCCAGCAAGTGGAAAGGAGCCAAAGAATACGCCTGCCAATGACCCGAAGGCCGTTGGACGGATTGTTCCGCCGCGCTGTGCAATGCAGGGACCAATCCGTGGTGGACCGCCTTCTTGATCGCAGCCACCCAAACAAGGTAAGTATGAAGAAAAAAAAGAAGAAAAAAGTTCAAAAGGGTGTCGGGTATCCGATGAACTTATAGTGTCGGGTGGGGTCATGTGAATGACGCTAGTGGCAAGCGAGAGCCTGGCATCCAATCATGAGCCATTGATGCCCGCTGATCTGGGTGACTTGTTAGTGCCTGATAAACAGGGCATAAATGCCAGTTGCAAGGTCAGGTGCAAACTATCACGTGCCACATGCGAAGTTTTGGCCGCAAGATCGCTGGATGAACAGCAGGACATAGTATCCAGGTCACGCTCAAACGACTCGCCATCATGAGGAACAGGGCCACTACACCGTTGAGCAAGCCTGTAAGCTTCCCCTTTGTGGATTCGTCGGCTTAAATATTTTTCCTTTTACTCTTACAGCAGCTAATGCCAATCTGTTTAGAAAATCCGACAATCATGGAGCAAATATAACCTATTCAACCTGCAGCGCCTGCGTAATCCCCCAACCGGCAGCAAAACATTTTTCCAACAAAAATGGACGGCCAAGTCCATGGCCCGATCATACCATGGTGAACAAGTCCGCGAGAGCCAATGGGCGCGCATGTTCTCCCGCCGCATTCGCAGCGTCGTGCCCATGAGCCCAGCTAGATTAGCCCAGGATGATGGCTCCGGGATGTCCGCTGGTCGTGGAGCGGGTGTGGAGGGTACCAAGGATTTCCCTCGATTGACACCCTTTACACAGATGACGTTTGCTCCTCTGGAGCGTCGATTGGATGTGGCTATCTTCCGAGCTATGTTTGCTAGCAGTGCTAGACAGGCTCGGCAGTTTGTTGTTCACGGTGCGGTGACGGTTAATGGGAAGCAGGTATGCTTTTATTCTCACATTAAGATTGGATGCCTAGTGAACTAAATTTATGGTTCTCCAGATGAGATACCCCGGTTACCTCCTTAACCCTGGCGATCTTTTCCAGGTCGACCCCGAGCGTGTCATGTATGCAACTGGTGCCCCTAAAGATAAACACGAGCGTCGAGAGGGACGTGTTGCCCGGAAAAAGTCGGCAGAGTCGCAAGAAGCGGAAGCGGAGGCGAAGGAAGAGGTTGCTACGGAAGAGTCGGGAGAGAAGAAGGAAGCCGAGTCTGAGGAACAGGGCCAAAAGAAGGAGAACGACGACCCACGAGAGACTCTGAAGGTCCTGCTGGCCCAGGCCAAGAATATTATGGCCGGCAGTAAGGATGTGCTCCCCGCAAAGCGCAAGCAGGAACTGCGTGGATTCCAGAAGGCCGTCAAACGTGTCCTCTCTCGTTCCGATTCAAGCACCGTTCTCGCCGACAACCTGGAATCACAATTCTCTGAGCTCATTACTCTCCTCAAGGCCAAGCCTGCGGAGAAGAAAGACACTAAGCGCTCGAAGCGTGATCAGTCTTCCGACGAGACCAAGAACGTTTCCGAGTCCGCATCCGAATCTGCTACAGCCAGTGAATCCCAGCCCGGAGAGGCCTTAACTGAGGCTTTCCGACAGGCCGCCGAGAACCCCGAGGAAGAAGTTGACACCTCAGAACTTACAGAAGAGGAGTTCGATGTGCTCAAGCGGGCTCTCGTCCAGATGCGTGACAACCCCATCGACAGCACAAAGCCCTACGCCACCCCCTGGAGGCCTCGCGATTACATGAGCGCTTTCGCCTTCATCCCCCGATACCTCGAGGTCAACCACAACATCTGCGCAGCGGTCTACCTGCGCCATCCGGTGGCTCGTCCTGGCTTCTCGGAGGTGCCGACACCGTTCGGCGAGCCCGTCGGTACAGCCGCTTTCACCTGGTACCTGAAACGGCGGTAGACAACGCAACGACCATGTAATAATCATTGTATTTTCTCCTTAGGCTTCTCTCTTCTTCTTACGTTCTGCGGGCATGTTCCACAGTCATGTATTACTGGGTATCTGGTCTGTTCTTGTTATTTGGCATATGTCCGTTCTCATAGATGTACCCTATCTATCTATCGATCTACCTTGTGTTCCCTGAGGGAGGACAGAATCATGTTGGTGTTGGACTGATAGCGCACACACCCTGTACAATCAAGTGAATGTAAATGCAACCTCGATCTCCAATTCCGGGCTAATAAATCGTAGAGCATTCCAATGGGAGTGACAGGCTGATAGACCCGCCAGTTCTAGACCAGACTATATATATATTGATGTGTCATGGGATGGGTAATACGTATGCCAATTACATTTCAAACCCGGTGAAAAATACAATACCAGGCTAGAGACACCCGCTTATCCCTTATCAGCCGGGTAAAATTGCAAAGCAATGGTCCATTTTTTCATTCCACCACCGATACATAATACATACCACGCCGCCCACTCTAGAAGCCAGACTCGCCACAACCAAGAAGCAACCTGGGGGGGAAAAAAGGAAAGAAAAATCGCTCATCACACACCAAAAAAAGAAGCCCTCCAACCCCAGAACTTGGATCTCTTAGATCCGCCCCCCCCAAGAAGAGACCCAATGTATTCCTGGCATGGGCATGGTCCGAACCATCATGCAGCGGCCAACGCAGCCACGCCGACGCCGGGCCGTCGACTCGAATCACCCAATCCCCCGTCGTACATGTCGCAGCTACGATGGCCGGCGTCGATGATGTCGCGCTCGCATAATGCGCCCCCCGGTGCGTTGCCGACCCTCTCGTCGAATCTGAGGATGGGTGCCACCGCCGCACCGGGAGGAGGGGCTGCTGCCGTTGGCGGCGGTGCGGCTGGCGGGAAGGCCATCGCTGGTCCAGGGCCGAGGATTAATACGCCGCAACATGCGCCGGGTGTCTCTGTGGTGGTTGAGTCGCGGGTTTCGGCGGAATCGATCGAGAGCTCCGATAGCGATCAGTCGGATGTGGCGAGCGGGGGGCGCGATGCGGTGGGGGCGGATGCGCTGGGGGATACGGATTATGTGGCATCGCATGGGGGTGTGCAGGACTCGAGGAGGGGAGGGGAGGGAGGTGCTGGCGCTGCGACAGCGACCGGAGGGGCTGTGATGGGGTCTACAGGGAGGAGTAGTATCATGGATCGGGTGTTGGGCGACGACGACCTGGATAGTAGCGGGATGGCAGGAGATACGCCCCGCAAACATGGCAAGCGGCTGACAACGCTGGAGGAGGTGTCATTGTTTAACATCTGTAATCGGCATGCGGAGGAATTTGGGCAGCGCAGTAATCTGTGCAAGTGGTGGATGACGGTGACGGCGGAGTTCACGCGCGATCAGGGTCATCCGTATTCGTGGCACTCGGTGCGGCGAAAGGTTGAGCTGGTCACGAAGCAGCGCATGAAGTTTCTCGAGGAGCAGCGAGAGAAGGGTGGCACGGAGAATGAAGATCTATCGAATCCCCGATGGCGTTCAGCTGTCGACGCCTGGATTCCGACATGGCAGCGCTGGGAAGAGGCAGAGGCGCGGCGAATCGAGAAGCGCGACTCGCGCCGGTCTCGCAAGAGAAAAGAAAGGTCTTGGGAACCGGCGTGGGATGCTCCCAGTTCGAACGGGTGGAGACAAACGTCCAGTCCAGCAGTGGATAGTACCGCAGTCAGTGGAAACCAGAGTCAAGGCCAGCTGCCTCCTCCAGCTCCCCCCGCCACCGCTGCTGCTGCCACTGTTACGCCTACTCTAGTCCGATTGCCTCCTGGATTTGAAAACATGTTTGCGAATCAACCAGCCAATTCAGCTGGGTGGCCGTCCCAGCATCCAGCGTCCACGTCTGCTCCCCCTTCAGCAGGGGAGAATGGCGTGATAAGTGCTGTCATAGAAACGCTAGGCAAACTGAACAAGCATCTAGATGCTGTGAGCTCAGAACCTCAGTCATCGCCTTTAATCACATCATTGGCCTCGAACTCAGACTCCCAGCGTCGTGCAAGGCCGTCGCATCAAGAGGAAGCCACCCCCAACAACGAAGGCGAGAAGCAGGTAAAAGCATTGCCGGCGTCGGCCATCAAGCAGCTTAAGGAGGAACTTCGGCAGGAGTTGCGGGATGAGCTCCGGTCAGAGCTAGAAAGGGACCGAGTGGCGTTGGAAGAGAAGTTGGATTCTGTACAGAGAACGCAGGAGATGATTCTTGAAATGCTACGACAGGAGCCTGCGTGACTTTGTTTGTTTTTTTCCCGTTCGGTTTGTTGCTTGATCTTATTGCTATGATACCCATTGGCGAACAGCGTATCCCTGTCCAAGTCATATTGCAGTGCGGAAAACTTCACCGATAATGTCTACATACACACGAAGGAGACTTGATTTATTTTACCATTAATGTTCGAACAATCTCCAATAGTATATTCCTAACGTTATAGGAGAATAATGCAAAAATAAAGATATAAATCCCCGGCTAAATTACATAGTAAACGTGCATGGTAATGCTGCATAGGAGCCTGCCAATTTAATTGTTTTTATACTTCCTCCGTCGTTGTCACCCCCGATGAGAAGCCATCTCGCGTCATACTTAGTAGTAGAAGGTCTCATCAACGGTGCGACCCCTCATCCACCGGGGCTCGCTGCCACGGACGTAGATGTCCTCAAAGAGGATGCGAGTGCTGTTGTCAGGAACGGGCATGGCCTCGGCGATGGCGACCTCCTCATCAACAAAGGCACGAGCGGCCTTGTCCAGAGCCTTGAGCTCATCCTCGGTCATGACCTTCCAGTCAAGAATCTTCTGCTTGAGACCGGCAATGGGGTCGTTGGTGCTGCGCATGCGCTGGATCTCCTCACGGCTACGGTAGGTGGTACCGGGGTCGGACATGGAGTGACCTCCGTAACGGTAGGTGACGTACTCCATCACGAGAGGGCCGTTGCCAGAGACAGCATAGTTCTTGGCGTATTGAACGGCAGCCTTGGTGGCAAGGACGTCCATGCCGTTAACCTTGATACCAGGGATGTACTGACCACGCTTGTAGTACTCGGTCAAGGCGGAGGAACGAGCGGCGGAAGTACCCATACCGTACTTGTTGTCTGTGACAGGTCAGAACCTCTTCACTTTCACTGACCCTTAATCAAGGAGAACTTACTCTCACACCCGAACAGAACTGGAAGGTTCCAGAGCTTGGCCATGTTGAAGGCCTCAAAGACCTGACCCTGGTTGGAAGCACCGTCACCGTAGAGGACAATGCTAGTAGTAGGCTCCTCGTTGTACTGCTGGGCGAAAGCAAGGCCAGCACCAACAGGGACCTGAGCACCGACAATACCGTTACCACCGTAGAAGTTAGGAGCGAACATGTGCATGGAACCGCCCTTTCCGTAGGCGATACCCTCACGGCGACCGAGCAACTCTCCGATAATGGACCGGATGGTACCACCGCGCATGTAAGCGTAACCGTGACAACGGTAGGCAGTGATGATCTTGTCGTCACGGGTGATGGCGTGTTCGATACCAGTCGCGACGGCTTCCTGACCGGTCGACAAGTGGCAGAAACCTCTGATCTTCTTTTCCTTGTAGAGACGATCGGCGGCCATCTCCATGCGCCTAAAGTAACACGAGAGCGAAACGTTAGATCCAGATCGCCAAAGCATCAAGGATTCCGCGATCATGCATACCTGGTCGAGACCATATCATGGTACATCTGCTTCAGCTCCTTCTTGGTGACCTCCAGGGTGTAGGGAGGGGGATCGATCTCATAGGTCTCAAAGCTCTCATCGGAGAGCTGGACAGTGAAAGGCTTGTCATCTTCCTGTGGTAAGCGCACGGTGGGTTAGCATCACTGTATCAGAGACTTTTCCGAAGGGCTCAACAAACCTGCGGAACGTTCTCAGCATGCGACGAGGCGGCGTCGGTGGTGACGGAACGACGGGCAAGGGGAGTGAAAGCGTGACGCCTCAAAGGCGCGGCTTGACGGGCCCACGCAGTGCGGAACAACATTCTGGGCAGGGCAGGAGGTCCAATTGATGGAGAAGGGAGCTGGAGAAAGATCAGGGAGATTCTGTTATCTTTCAACAACGGAGATGTTGGGAACAAACTTTCCCCTGCGACTAACGGCTTTGGGCAATGGCTTATCTAAGCTGACTTTCCATTCGGGACCTGCCGGTGTACACCCTGCAAACCTGGCAAACATCCTCTTTACATTATTATACAACGACCCTACGCAACAGGAGGATTCTTTCTCAATTATCTTCAAAAACTTGTCGATGACCTTCCGCAGATACCTCTCTGCCACAGGTGATTATTTATCCTCCCCATAGATACACCGTTGATGGTGGTCCGGCCCTTCCGGCGGATGCCACCGATCTTGATCCTGCATACGTGTTGGACCGGCGTACGCCATTCTGGGAATCACCTGACTTCTCCTCGGAGTTTCATGGATCTTCCTTCAACATCAATGGACCGTCAATCCCCAATTACGATGTGGGATGGAAGCACTGCATGATATAAACAGTTAATTCTTGGATCGTAAGGAATCAGGGAAGCCGGTATCAGCAGACTTCGATGGCGTTTGACCAAGTGAGGACGTCCATTTCTGTTTGGCAAGATACGATTGCACAAGATGGCTTTAAGACCAAACAGAGGACTGAAGTTCCCATGCAAATGAGGACAGGGCTTGTGCCAACCTTGTTTCGCTCGCCCCTTTGCGCGGATGCGTCGTAACTGAGATGCCTGTAGAGATCAACACAGCGATGTAGTCAAGGCTGCGAAATTGGGACTGGATGATATACGCCGGCAAACTGTCCACTGCTATGAGGAACGAGACAGTACGTGAATCCAAGGAGGCTCTGTATTGGCCCTTGAAACCCGACCGCTGGGTCCTAGCCTAGAGAGATGACGGGAACGAGTCTTGACCCTTAGTATAAACTTAAGCTATGCCAGGCCACTACCATC